TGTACTACAAAGGACTTTCCAAGACACTGTTAACATTCAAGTTTGACACTGTTAAGAGTGTCCTGGACAAAGACAAGAAGGAAGATGACACCAATGAGTTTGTCAGCGCCGTCTGCTGGAGGGCCCTGTCTGATGGAGTGAGTGACCGATGGCCGTTTTTGAAATATTTCACACTGTTCTGTGGCCCTCGTAGAATTATTAAAATATCTTTGCAAAACCTTTTCTAGTATTTTGATGTTTTATTTTGTTTTTCAGGAGTCAAATGTTCTTATAGCTGCAAACAGTCAAGGAACAATCAAGGTTTGTGCTTGAATTTCTCTGTTAAACGTTTTTACATTCTTGGGGGAATTGGAGAAGTATGCATGCTAGCAAGGCTTTGCTGTCCAACTTTTTTTCATAGATAAATATTAACCATGTGTAAAAAGGTCATAGTGACTTACTGGAAGCCCACAGTTGGGCAGTTACTGGATTTATTTACCCATAATTTCCAACTGCAAGTGCTGAGCAAATTAGACATGGACCACAATCTCACAGGTAGTATCTATACAAGGTGGAATCATTTATCTTTCCCACTAGATCAAACGATTCACAACGGCTGAAACAAGTATTCAAATTAATTGATTATTTAAACAATTGTCAACTAATTTAGTAATCAATTAATCTTTAACTGGAGTATAGAGACTCTAAAACAGTCCTTTAACTGACAGCGAACCACCTAAAGCAGCAATTATACCAAAATTGTAAAATAAATATATAAACATTTTGCATTTAAGATCAAAAAAACGTTTTTTCTCTGTCAGTATGCTCTATCCAGAACTCCTCAATTGGAAAAGTTTTAGTTTGCCCTGGTTTAATTTAGTAAATGGTCTTCTGTAAGGAAACTTTTGCTGTCCGATTATTAATCGAAAAAATAATCCACAGATTAATTGATCTGCAAAATAATCTTCAGTTGCAGCCCTACAATTCACAGTATTGGGCCCATCAGGTGGGAGGATAATTAAGTATTTGTTTTGGGAAATATTTTATTGTTTTGTTGTTTGATTTTGAAGTAGAATAAAGTTTGAAAATAACTGTCTGGCATAAATTCTATTCAGAATAAAATACTTCACTTTAGGTTCAACTAGTTCACATGTTATGGATTCATAAAAGAAGAGTCCCATTATTTAACACCTTTAGAATACTCATTTAACAGAAGACAATTTTAGCATGACTAGCCATTATCAGCCTGCCTGATGAGAGTTTTTGAAGAGTCAGCGCAGTCCCTACTTCCGTCCTATACTAGAATATGAATAATAATGGTGTATATGAATAGATTTTGGAGTACCGGTACATATGCTTTAACTAAACGTTATGGTAAAAGCAAGATTTGTTGCTATTTTTATATTGCATAAGCATAGTTAATTTTTCTTCATTTTGTACTTTTTTTCTCATAGGTACTTGAGCTCGTTTAAGAATCTGTTCGCCTCAAGCAGTCTGTGGAACTGCCGTCAGCTTTCCAGTGTCATGAAAGGACAAGATGGACGTAGGGAGATCTCAGACTGCCTGCTAAGCACCAAGGGAGCTAAAATACTTCAATGAACTGCTCTTATTTTAATTTTGGGTTTGTTCCTTTTTTTGTTGTTTCTTTTCACGGGCAGCAGGACAAACTTCGGACCAGTGCGTCAGTAAAAACAGGAGATGCCATTCTTCTGCAACACAACAAAAACTTAACTTGAGGCAAAAAGCCAAAGGAGACTTTGAAGAGAGTTTTTCTGTTTTTGTTTTTCAACACTATATTGGCTTCAGTAAAACGGTTCATTTATTGTTTTAGGTCAAATAATTTTTTTTTTTTTTTTTTTATATATACCAAGTATTGTTTTACAGTCTCTTTCTTTTTTTTTAAAGGCCAAAGCACAAGACCGGATGACATGCAGAAATGTCCTTATATAAAGCTTTTATTACCCATCATTCTTTAACCTTCCTTTTCAACCATTTGTTTGGTTTTTGTTTGCCAAATTTGGAAAAAGCAGTTTCAATAAATAAAACTTGAATTTCATCCACGTCTATCGAAAATCACAGCCAGCTTAGTCTGATTTTAAGGCTGTGGAACTGGAATATTTATGTTTTGGCTCTATTGCTTGATGGGAGGAAAAAAAATAAAAAACCTTGCATTTTTGGTTTTAGTTCTTTTGAAGTAGCAATGGAAACTTTCTTCACGTACTGTAGGCTTAAAACGTATCACCTGAGCTGTGCGGCACTGTAACATGAGAACAGCTGTTGGTTTTTGTGGTGTGGAGATCCATTATAACAGGTAGAGGGGAATGAAGAGGCACCACCAAGACCTGCCTATTTTATGACTGAGTGAGAGAGGTGTTTTTGTATTTGTATAACTGAATAAATTATTTCAGAACATTTTTTTCCCTTTTCTTTATAATTTCCTAAGATACTAGCTTGTGGTGAAATACTTAAACCTTTTTAGACACTTTGATTCCCCTGTGGATTAAAAAAAGTCCTTTGGCTACTTGTAATAAAACTTATATATACTATAACTATTAAACATTTTTGTGGTAAGGCTTGCTCACAATTTTTAAAACAAGTAGGACTTTTGTAGCCTATTTTACTTTAACTGAGATTTGAGAACCTCTGGACATTTGTGGCTAATGGAAGGTTAAATTATAAAACAAAAGAAAACAAACTTTGAAATGGGAGACAATGACCTGAAAGGTCATTTTAAACGATACTTGACCGCAACGAACTCCTAGTCTGGTTTGTACACTTTTGAAAATGATGCAAATTCTGATTGATCCCTTAAATTCAAACCTGATTTTTTTTTTTTTTTTTTTCACCTTCCTACTATTGAGTAATGTTCTTATGAAATATGGCTACTCCTACGTGAGTTTAGTCTCTGGCTTCTCCGTCCACACTGAGTTAATTCCACTAAAGAGTAGCTATTGTCGGTGGAAGTTATCACCTTAAATGTATACATACATATGCCTACACATTGATTACAGTAAGGTTTGATTTTACAAGTTTTACCTTGAAGAACAGAGAAAAGTATGCTGTAGGGGTTTATTTTCGATTTATGTCATTGATTTGTATTTTACTCTTTGAAATACTAGAATTTGCACATTAAGTCTGTCTGGCATAATTTCCAATGACTACTTAAGTAGCCTTTTTATGAAACACTTTTTTACTTTTACTCTATTCATTTCTTGAAATGACTGCCTAATACTCTTACTTGAGTAAAAAAACTTGTTTAACTGGTACTTTTACTCGAGCACAGCCACCCCTGGTTGATCCTGTCCCGCTCTGACTCCATTTAAACAATTTCATCAAAAATACATTTTACATAAAACACTTAAAACTTGAATCACTATTTAGTCCAGCAGTTGTTCTAAAATGACTAGATATAAACTTAGTTCACAGGGAAAAACCTGAGTTCTGTCACAGATGAGACATCTTTTTAATTTGGCACCATATGTATGCTGGGGTGGTTGTCCCCCCACTAAATGAACACAAATTGTGGTTTTCTGACATTCTCAAATCAAGATTAATGTCTAAAGGATGCTGCCTTTACTATGGCTCAAAATGGAAATTTAGGGTTTCCAGGAATATGTTGTACAGCCTTATAGTCATCGCAGTATGTGAGGGCACAAGGCTGTGTCTCAGGTTGGTTTGCAGTATGGGGGTCCCACAGGGAATAGTCCTCTTCACCCTCTACACTGCAGACTTCTCCATCAACTCCCCACACTGCCACTGCCAGAAGTTCTCTGACGATTCTGCCATAGTTGGCCTCATCACAGGTGGGGACGATTCAGAGTACAGACAGTGGACCCAGGACTTCGTGGACTGGTGCCAGCAGAACCACCTCTTGATTAATGCAGGAAAAACCAAGGAGCTAGTGGTGGACCTTCACAGAAGCAGATCCACCCTACTGACTGAGCATCCAGGGAACGGACATTGAGATAGTGGACTCTTACAAGTACCTGAACAACAAACTGGACTGGGCTCTCTACAAGAAGGGTCAGTGCAGACTCTTCCTGCTGAGGAGACAGGTCTTTTGCTACTAAAGACCTTCTATGACTCTGTTGTGGCATCAGCCATCTTCTATGGAGCTGTATGTTGGAGAAGTGTCTTATCTGTAGGTGAGAAAAAGCGACTGGATAAGCAGATCAGTAAGGCCTGCTCTGTGACTGGATGCCCTCTGGACTCAGTGCAGGAGGTTGGAAACAAAAGGATCCTACCTAAATTAACATCTCTGTTGGATAATGTCTCCAACTCCATGCATGAAGCTGTGCTGAACTGGAAATCACCTTCAATGACAGACTGCTGCACCCTAAATGCACCAGGGAGCGTTATCACTGATCCTTCCTCCCAGCTCCTGTAAGATTCAGTTTCCATCTTAGTCAGTTAAATAACATGCTGTTGTAATTTTTTTGCACATCTCTGGTATTGCTGCTATTTTTCACATATCCGTTGCTGTAAAAATGCCCATAGTTGTTTATTGATTATTTATTCTCCAGATAAAAACACTGTACAATACAGTACCATGTTCTTTCATTTTATTTTATGTTATTTTTATACACTTTTCTAAGGTTCATATTGTGTGAACACTTTGGCTATAGGCTAATCTTTTTCTGCTGTAAACACCACATCTCACCTTTGTGGGACAATAAAGGGATTTTCTATTCTATTCTATTCTATTCTATTCTATTCTATTCTATTCTATTCTATTCTATTCTATTCTATTCTATTCTATTCTAGATGCATTGTTGGCTTCCACCAGTTCTCAGTTTGTGAGTCAAACAACCCTTGGATAAGTTTCATATCCCTTCCTCTTTGTTAAAGAAAAAAAAAATAAATGAAACTGGGGAACCAGGTAAGGGAAACAATCACTTGACAAACGAGATTAAGGCGAACGTATACCTTTTTTTGTTTTGTTTTTTCTCTTGATTTCGTTTTCAGGCATTTTTTGTAATCGACATGAGGACACATCATCCCGGAACCTTCGTTTCCCTCGAACAGTCGGAATGCTTTAGAGGTCGGACAACAGGCAACTAGCTAGTTAGCGGCTGTTGGAAACAAACAGAGCAAGTTTAAACGATACTTTGGCCAACCTTGACTGTGTTTGGTCGGACTCATAGCTGAACAGCTCGTTTCCAGTTTCTATAGTATTCCGTGTTCATAAAGAAGCTGAAGTTTCACCAGTTAAGATGGGAGTGCCGAAATTTTACCGCTGGATTTCTGAACGCTATCCTTGTCTCAGTGAAGTTGTCAAAGAACACAAGGTAGGGAAGGTTTTAGCTATTTGCTATCAGTACTCTATGGTAAGCCGGGGAAAAAAAGTTTTATCTACGTACTTCTGTGTGTTTTCTATCTACTAAAATAGGTCTTATTTCAATTGATGGTTTATGTAAACACAATACAAACACAAGGTCATAGGCCACATTCCTTAACTAACTGTTGGCTAATCTGGTAATTTCGTCCCACTGTTTGAATTTTCAGTACAGAAAAAAAAAATGTGAAGCGGGGTAGTTCGGGTCTTTGTTGAGGAAGAACACCCGATCAACAACAACTCTGTTAAAGTGACTAGCTGAAGTATCGCGATAACAGCAGAAAACACTAAGTTAGTGTTACAAAATACTTAGGTCAGTGATAGTTTCTTATTTTTTCCACTTAATAAAGCGCTTTTGTGCATTTTTTTTTTATCAATACCAGCTCTTGATTGTTCTTATGTTTATCTGGTATTCAGGGCAACTTTAGTCACTCGAGATCATTGACCCAGGGTTATATTTCAGTTTCTGTGCTGTAGTTTCATCAGTATTCACAGTGTTAGACAACGTAAGCATTATTTGGTTCAGGAGTGGCTGGGCATAAAAAATGAAGCAGTAAAAGCCGGTGTGGAGGGTTTAGCTTTTGGTAATGGTTCTTGATGATGAACCCAGCCTTGGCCACTCCTTATGAAACTTACTTGAATGTCCCTATTTTTTCCCCCTTTTTTTTATCAAAGCATTTTCAGCTTCCTGTAAATACAGTATGTTTGTATACAGCACTTCTAAACACAGTAAACAACCAGCTTCTTTCACAATGACCTTTTCGTGGCTTAGCTTGCATTTTGAGTTGGACTAAAACATTTACTTCATTGTTAAAATAATAAGAAACTAATTTAGTAACCATTTGATTATTAACAGAAGCATAGAAACTCTAAAACATGACTTTTTTTCCCCTGAAAAACAACTGACTCAGAACATTAATTTAGCCACAATTTTATAACAGGAGGATGTTATATAATTGGTGTCGAATCGAACTCGGAGGGTTGACAGTTTAAGCCCCAGCTCCGGCTTTCAGTGTTGTCTTGTCCTTGGGCAAGGCACTTCACTTGCATTGTCTACTGATGGTGGTCAGAGGGCCTGGTGGCACAGGTGTACAGCAGCCTTGCTTCTGTCAGTGAGCCCCAGGGCAGCTGTGGCTACAATGCAGTTTGCCACCATCAGTGTGTTTGTGTGAAAGGGCCAATGACTGAATGTAGTGTAAAGCACAGTCTCCTGACTTAAAAAAAACAAACAAAAAACACTATATAAGTACAGGCCATTTACCACTGATTACTAATCAAACGATTCTGGACATTTTGATCAACTTTAAAATGAAAGTATATACATGCATCAGTTATTTACCTTAATGGAACTTAAACGGGTTCTAGTAATTGTGGCAGTAGTCTTTTCATATTTCATATCAAAACAATAATCTCTAACATGAGCCTTGTCACTTGCACGAAAGGTAAGATTTTTCTTTAATAAATGCACTTTATGTCTTTGGTACCTTTCACAGGATAGAAACCTGAAAAAGAAAAAAAAAACCTGAGAAAGTGTTTTAAGATAAATCAAACATAAAAACCATGCAGATCATAAGAACATACAGAAAAAATACAACTGCAAACATACATCTTCATACAGCATAAAATTATTATTATTTTTTTTTTTTACATACTGAAAATCATCTTAAGGGTCTTTAAAAAAAAAAGAAATCTGTTATTTAAAAAGTGAATGTATTTATTTTTTTTTTCTGCCTCCAGATTCCAGAATTTGACAATCTTTATCTGGACATGAATGGCATCATCCACCAGTGTTCTCACCCAAATGACGAAGACGTCCACTTTCGTATCTCTGAAGAGAAGATTTTTGCGGATATCTTTCATTACCTGGAGGTCCTGTTTCGGATCATCAAGCCACGCAAGGTCTTTTTCATGGCTGTGGATGGTGTGGCACCAAGGGCAAAGATGAACCAACAGAGAGGGCGCAGATTCAGGTAGTGACGGATGATCTCAATGTTTGATGTTTTTTTTTTTTTGTTTAAAAAGTTCTGTGTGTGATATAGGTATAATAGGGGTGGTGGCTTTCATCAAGATATTGATGCTACTGTGAAATTATTCTATATTTTGCTATTGTTTACCCATTAATATCCTGCTCCACTAAGAAGTACTATATACTCTTTACCTAATTACCTAACATTATGTACTTACACTTGGCTCACGCAAGTTTATATATATATATATATATATATATATATATATATATATATATATATATATAAACAGAGGTTTATATATATATAAACCTCTATATATAAACAGACCTAAATATATTTAGGTCTGTTTATATATATATAAACAGACCTAAACAGAGAAAGACTCAAGGAATCCCACAGTGGATGCGAAGCAATACTTGCGTTATTCAAAACCCTGAACTTTCTCTCAGTTCAGGTCCCATCAATCAGGGATTGTATGTGGTTCTAATGTATTGTGAAGGAGTTTAGCAGAGACAAAGGTTTTCTTTCTTTTCAACCAAAATCGCTGACAGAAAAAAATAATACTTACATAGAATTAGGTAAGAAATGCTCTTTAGAGGTGTTTTGGTCTGTTTTAAATTCCCTGAAGCAGGATAAACGTATTTGGTCCCAGTCAGATGAAGCACTGTGGGACAAGATTATGATCCAGCCGTAGCTCCTAGACTTCCTGAACTGGGAGCATCTTAGGTGAATGTTGTCACCGTTGTTCAACGTTCCACGATAAATGAAGAACGGTGTCTCGGTAGATAAAAAAAAGTTGGTCCACCATGTTGAATTGAAACCCGCAACCAGATAGAAGCTCCTCCTATCGGAGGAAGCAGTAAAGTGACCAACCACACCCAAATAAGGTGGAACATTTGCTATAATCATGTTCGGTGTGATTGCACCATTAGCCTTTTCATACATAAAATTTGACTCTAAGATGTTTGACTTAACTCCAATTAAAGCAACATTCAAGAATGGTCACCTTTAAGGGATAGATTAAGAGGCATATTATCTGATCTAGACTTCATATAAGATGGATGGATTAGTTTTTTTTCAACCAGTTATTAATGGATCACTTGATGTCTGCTAGTAGAACATGATCAGTCAATTGTAAGAGTCTGTCCCAAATTACATCTATAGAAACCTCTCTCTAATTTTAACTGCAGAATCTGTCATTTTCAAGGTTGCTGGTCTAAACATGAAATTAATACAAAGGGCAAAAAAAAAAGAAGAGTTATTTAGAAAGGCTGAAAATGGTCCAAAACAATTAAAACGGATTAATATATATTTTTTTACTCATGGCTTTATGAGAAAATACATCAAAATTAAGCAGGGATGCTGTCTCTTCTTTTTCTTACTTCAACATTTGTATTTTTGTGCTTCCAGGTCAGCCAAAGAAGCAGAGGAGAAGATTAAGAAAGCCTTGGAGAAAGGAGAGGTGCTTCCTACAGAAGCTCGCTTCGACTCCAACTGCATCACTCCTGGTAAAGTTTTTTTGGAATACTATGCTTTTTTTCCCATTATTGAAATTAGTTTAATGCAAAAAGTCATTCTTGAACTCTTTCTGTGACACTCTTACTATTTTATTAACTACATGTTTGCGTGTGCAGGAAGAAAATCTGTTTTTCTTGTAAACGTTTTATAACCCCCGACTCTTTTTGCAGGCACTGATTTCATGGCGAGACTGCAGGAGCAGCTCAAGTACTTTGTCCATAATAAGGTGTCAACTGACAAGCTGTGGCAAAATGTCAAAGTCTTCTTGTCGGGTCATGAGGTGGGTTTGGGCCAGAGCGTTGACTGAATTTGCTGTTAAAACATACGGATGAGTGTCAGCTTCAATTGATGTGTTTGTTTCCTAACAGACACCAGGTGAAGGAGAACACAAGATCATGGAGTTTATTCGTTCTGAGAACACCAAACCAAATCATGATCCTAACACGCGACACTGCCTGTATGGCCTAGATGCTGACCTGGTAGGCTTTAGACTTGTCTTAAAATGTTCATCCCATTTCAAACTCTTTTGAAGCTCACCTCTTCCCTCTCTCTACGTCTTCTAGATCATGTTGGGATTAACCAGTCATGAGCATAATTTCTCCCTGCTTAGAGAGGAGGTCCGTTTTGGAGGGAAAAAATCCCAGAAAAGGTTTTCTTTTCCTCTGAATATTTTTTTTGTTTGTTTGTTTCTTCTGTTATAAACCCTGTTTATTTCCTTTCCTCCAGGATAACAGCTCCAGAAGAGACGACATTTCACCTGCTTCACCTGTCACTGATGAGGGAGTACATTGATTACGAGTTTTCAGCGCTGAAGGTGTGTTAAACTTAAAAAACAAAGATAGGGATATTGTCGCTTTATTAGGCCCCAAACAATGACTTTAACTGAATTATAAACCCTAAATAATGTGGATGCTCTTTAAACTTTGTCATGAAAGAACAGCCCTTTTTCCCTAGAGTGAAAGAACACAGAAAAAGTATTTTATCCAGAGTTCAAAAAAGAAAGTACACACTCTTTTTCACTTAGTCTGACGTCTGCACTAAGGTTTTTATGCATTTTAGTTGGATTCAATAAAATGGAAATTTTTTTTAAGTTTCTTTTTTTATCAGCAGATATAGACAGAATATCTTAGTTTTTTCAATTTAAGTTAAGGTTGGGTGGAGAGCATGTGTGAACAACCACCTTTCTCTCTTGTCTTAGATGCTTAAAGGAGAATTCCGGTTTTTAACACTTTTAGCCCATTTTCTGTAGTGTCCAGGATGAAATCGAATGATCGACACCAAAATTTTGACAATTGGTCCTGTCTCTGCTTTTTGGCTCACGCAGAATCCCCCCCTTGCTGCTTTCGAATGGCTTCCATTGTGCATGTCCGATAATGTCCTTAAAACAACCTTAAACGTTCTTTTTTTAAAATATGCTACTCACCAGGTCGTCAGCGCTGTTCAATGACGTTCCAAAAAAAGTTTCGTAAAGAAAAAACGTTCCTGTAGTGTTTTATTTAGCATTTTGTAAATCCCATTGAGTTCTGTTGGAATAGTCAGTATTCCCCTGCCACCGGAAACGGAAATGGGGCCTGTTTACACAGTTGTAGTCTTTTCGCTTCACTCTGTGTACTCCGACGTCGAGGTGCTAACGTCTCTGTTAAACACTTTAAAAAACTCTGAAAATGGAATACGAAAGGTGGATTCTTGATTCTCGACGTCGGAGTACACAGAGTGAAGCGAAAAGACTACAACTGTGTAAACAGGCCCCATTTCCGTTTCTGGTGGCAGGGGAATATTGACTATTCCAACAGAACTCAATGGGATTTACAAAATGCTAAATAAAACACTACAGGAAAGTTTTTTCTTTTCGAAACTTTTTTTGGAACGTCATTGAACAGCGCTGACGACCCGGTGAGTAGCATATTTAAAAAAAAGAACGTTTAAGGTTGTTTTAAGGACATTATCGGACATGCACAATGGAAGCCATTCTGAAGCAGCCAGGGGGGGATTCTGCATGAGCCAAAAAGCAGAGACAGGAGCAATTGTCAAAATTTTGGTGTCGATCATTCGATTTCATCCTGGACACTACAGAAAATGGGCTAAAAGTGTTAAAAACCGGAATTCTCCTTTAATTATATTTTGATCTGGACTTAAACTGGTGCCTTTTAGGAATGTTTTGATGGTGGCACCACCATCTTTCACAGATGGGATGCTGTGTTTCAATTTTACACTGGAAAAACAATCTAGAAATAAGTAAAAATGTCTTAGGTGTCTTAAGTCTTAATGTCTTAAGTGTATTTACCCTTAATTTGAGTAGCTAAATGGGATAGTTTACCACTGGAATGAATATTTTTACTCTTAAAATAAGATAATTAGATAACAGGCACTTGAACTAAGACAATGCAGTTGTGTTTTCTTATTTTAAGTATAAATTGATCTGTTCCATTGGCAAAATTTCTCTTTTACCTCCTGAATCCAAGAACAAATGCACTTATTTTAAGAAAAAATGACTTATCTAGATTTCGATTTTTGTCCATTGTACATACTGGCCAAAGAGCACTGTCTTTCTTCTTTAGCTTAAAGGCTATGGCTGATGTTTGCAGGAATTACACAGCTTTAAACTATTGATATTTGCTGTTTTGAAAAATGTTCCTGTTCATTATGACTTTGAATTAGCGCAAACACAGCAGTGCCACTTGCAGGTGTAAAAGCTTATTAGCAATGTATCAAAATGCGTCCCCTTTCTTCTTCCATGTCATGTATTTTCTTATTTCTGTGACTGTTTTTCAGACTCATATGGGCTCTGCTTATGACCTGGAGCGGATAATAGACGACTGGATATTAATGGGCTTCCTTGTAGGAAATGATTTCATTCCTCACCTCCCTCATCTTCACATTAATCATGATGCTTTGCCTTTGCTGTACAAAACTTACATCAGCGTACTGCCAAGTCTAGGGGGTGAGACTCGCAGACACACATTCTCACATAACAGTATTACCTCATACATATTTTAGTGGATGTGCAAGACCCTGTCCTTTGGTTAAAATTTCCCCTTAAAATGTGCGTATTATTTCTGGATGTTCAACAAAATATGCTTTGTTTTTTTATGTGGAGTGTTTTACACCTATGAACTGAGATAACTTTATATTTCTAGGTTACCTGAATGAGAACGGCCATTTAAACCTCAGAAACTTTGAGAAATACATGGAGAAGCTCTCTGAGGTAAGGCGGCCTGTTGGAATATTTTCAGGGATTTAATTGGAATGAGGTAGTCTCACAGAGTTTGATGCTGTTCAGCATTATGTTTTTAATTTGAATATGAATGTAATAATAATCTGATATATATTCTGCTTATTAGATCACATACTGATTAGGGGTGGAACGGTTCACAAAATCCACGGTTCGGTTCGATTCACGGTTTCTGGTCACGGTTTTCGGTTCGGTATATGTTGATTGTTACACCGAAATCCCATAAAAATGTATGAAATTAATGAAAAGATCCCCCAAAAAATAATGGATTGTAATTATTTTAAATGATCCGCGGAAGCCCTGGATCATTTCCGCATGTTTTGCTGCTTTGAATTTAATCATCTCGCGCATGCTCTCTACCATCTCCAAGGGACTCAGAGGGGAGCAGACGGGAGCCACAGTGGAGGCTGTAGGCTTTGCTTTGAGCAGCTGGTCTGGAGCGCAGCGGCGGTTGCTGATAGAGGAGGGATTTCGGGGTTAGCATGACATGTTGGTCATGTTGCTGTTAGCATAAACAAAACATGTTGCACAATGCTTGCACACTGTTGCACTTTTATCCACAACTTTCTTTCCACCGTCATCGTAGGTCACTCTAAATGCAAAGTGGTCCCATACAGCAGACCTATAAAGTGCTGCTGGCGCGTCTTCCAACTCCTGTTCTTTCCCACTCGCCATACCCACACAATTCTCCACAACTGATTTTTTTTCCCTGCTAAACCCGGCTACGCTGCTTCGCTTCTTCTTCTTCTTGTTTACTACTGGCGGTTGGCTTTGGTCGCAGTAGCGCCACCTTCTGCTCTGAGTGTAATCGCTTCATCTATGAGAAAAAGGAGCAGCGCATGAACCGAACGAAACACACGCGAATCGAACCGAGACAGTCGAACCGAACGGTTCGGACGGTTTTCATAAATCGTCCCATCACTAATATTGATACAAGTTTATGATTCCAAAGGAGGATTATAGGATTTTTGTTATAGTGATGAGATTGTGTGACGATTAACTGATGCGGTTGTAATGGTGGCTGACAGATCAGACAATTTATTTGAGTGTTTTTCAGTTCTAAAAAAAAAAAAGAGTCTGGGGAAAATATTTTTGTTTATTTATTTTTTATACTAAAAATGTGCTTTTCTTTATTTCTTCATTGGGTTTTGCCTGCTTGTGAACTTTTTTTTCTATCTCATGTCTTTTGAATCTTCTTAGAGGTCTTTGTTGCCTCCTGGTGTAATTAATTTTAATGTTCTTTCATCATATAATATTACTATTTCATTTTCTTTTTTTCATTCTATCCTACTGCCCTTCTTTCTGTTGTTCATTTTCCTGTCTTTCCTTCCATCCTTCTGTATGACCTATCTAAATATTCATTCCTTCCCTTTTCTCTTCTCAGCTTTCCATCCATTCTACTTACCTTTCTTTCTTAGTTTTCTACACAGTAAATTACTTTCTTTCCTCATATCATACTGCCCTTCCTTCCCTCTTTTTATCCTAGTTCTCAATAACCTCCCATCCTCCTTCCTAGTTGGTATCCAACTGCCCTTCTTTTTGTGTCCTTCTTCTCTTCCATCCTGTTTTCAAGTTTTTTCTTTGTTAAATTCTTCCTTCCTTGTCTCTTTGTCTCATTTCCTTCCCTCTTATTTTCCTTGTATCTGACTGTTTTATTTCCTTGAGACCAGTATTATTATTATTATTATTATTAATATTATTATTATTATTATTATTATTATTATTATTATTATTATTATTATTATTATTATTATTACTTGCATCCCTTTCTTATTTCCATCTGCCTTTCCTTTCTTTTTTTCTATTTATTGATAAAAAAAATTTGTTGGAGTTATGAGTAAGAATATATGTTTTTCTAACTCTGGTTTAAACTTTTTTAGTTTGACCGGGAGCACTTTAGTGAGGTGTTTGTGGACTTGAAGTGGTTCGAAAGTAAAGTCGGCAACAAATATCTGAACGAGTCTGCTGGCATAGCAGCCGAGGAGGAAGCCGCTAGCCGAACTGGTGCAAAGGCAGAGGTAGAAAGGCTCTATTTAAAGGGGTCAACGTTAGATCCTTGTTTTGTTTTTGTTTTTTTGAACAAAGTTGAATTTTAACTGTTGTCTCTGACACATAGAAGGACTCTTCCACCCATCTTGGCGCCCTGGCATCATCTGAAAATGTGACTGAACAAGAAAAAGGAGAACTGGCAGATGAGGAGGAGGAAGAGGATGAGATGTTTGAAACAGAGTTCAGACAATACAAACGCACATATTATATGACCAAGATGGGGGTGGATGTTGTGTCAGAGTAAGTACATAATACACTAATGACTTTAAGCATTAAGCTACTAGTTGTTGCTAAGCCTTTGAGAAACTGACTTCTTAACACTCAGTGGGTGTTCAGCATGTTTATGTGCAGCAGTTCTGTCCTACTTTTTCATAACATTCTGCCTGAATACTGGCAACATGTTCTATAATGTATCTGCTTCTTCTTTCCTTCTGTATGCTCTAATTAGGTAAAAGGTTCAGTTTAGTTTTTTTTTATAACAAAATAAAACTTTCAAGGTTACTGCTTTTGTTATAATTTTTTTTTTCTTTATTCATAAGTATAGCAGCCCACGTTAATCTAGCAGAACAAAGATGGATTTTCCATTGGGAATTCACAAAAACTTTTTCAGATACAGATTATTGTTGCTTTGGTCATGGGTTTCTGTAGCCAATAATATTCCTCCTCAGTCAGGAAACTGCAGAGATGTGTCGCTATGTCAGAAGACCCAGTTACGACCCTTTCTGAGGGAAGGAGGTTATTGGTTATGATGAATCATGGCTCCATCCATCCTGTCTCCTTTGCAGAGAAGCATCCCCAAAAGAATGATGCTTCTAACTCCATGCTTTACACTCAGTGTGCTGATCTTGGGGTTGTTCTAATTCTTCTCCTTCCAAAAGCAGGGAGTGGATTTTAGCTCATACAGCTGTATTTAACCGTATGACCTTGGTAACTTAACATTTAAATTCCCTTTGGGGTTAATACAGTATTTATAAATTCAGTTGAACTAATTGGCCAATATTTTTTCATGATTTGTTTAAAAAAAAAAAAAAAACAGCTTTGTCTACATACAGCAGTTGTTGCCATTTGCTCTGATTGAAAATCTAACAGAAGTGTGGATTTCCTCCTGAACAGACAGATTTGATGACTTGATTACATAAGAAAAGATTTGTGACTTCACTTAAGTGGACTTCTGAAATGACTTGAAACATTTGGGAACTTCTAGCGGCCAAGGTTTAGTACACCCTGAGCAAGTTGCTGGTGGATGTAGGTTATCCTACCAGAGAGAGGTACCATTTATTGAAAAAAAGTTTTGGTGCTTTGTGACATTTAAACAAATACTGATTAAATTAATGACTGGAAAATTCAAACCATAGGCTTTACCTGGGACTCATTACTCCATATTTGTGACTCAACTTCTGCAAATTAAATCCTATACAGCGACTAAACTATAAACAGTTCAGTGGCACCAAGAACCTAGCTGACCCCCAGTTTAAACTACGCAGCAGTTCTGCTCTGGTTTGAACTCTTCATTGCTGAATTTCCCTTTGGGATTAATAAAGCATTATTCAATTGAAATGAATACACTCCCATTATAATCAATGGTTGGTTTTACATAGACAGGCATAGACATAAATTGGCTTATCAGAATTAAAACATGCGTCATGTAAACAGACTGTTTGGAACATTATAATTGAATTCAGCTCTTTTGGGATGGAACAAATTTTTGATTTTGAGGTTTATTTTTTTCATTTGTTGTGTCCTTGGACAAGATACTTGACTGCTGGCGGTCAGAGGGCTTGGTAAGTCTTGGATAAGCAGAACATGATGAGTACCATCAGTGTGTGAATGAATGTAGTCGAAAGATCTTTGGAGTCCCATGATTTGAAAAAGTGCTAAATAAGTAAAGGCAATTTACCATTTAGCACATCAGTTTTCACCTTTTTACTGACTTGGATCTGGATTTTAACTCTACTTCATTGCAGCGAGTTTCTCGCCAAGCAAGCCAAATGTTATGTGGAAGGTATCCAGTGGATTCTTCACTACTATTATCATGGAGTTCAGTCATGGAGCTGGTGAGTGCATACCTCTGGGTTTTTATTCTACAGAAACACCAACTTTAGCTGGAATAAATGAAAACTCTTATAATAAGTATTACTACAGCATCTGCTCTCTCTCTATGGCATTTATAACCTAGATTTAAATCCAGATGTCTTGTTGCCAACTGTTACGAATCATCGTGTCCTTTAGTAATTTTTGGGCAGTAGCAATAACATTACTTTAAATGTGCTCCCTTGTCCTCGTTTCAATACAAAATAAAGCTTTAAGTAAAATGTGTCTATCTCTGCAGGTACTACCCTTATCACTATGCCCCGTTCCTGTCTGACATCCGAAACATTTCAGAATTAGAGCTGACCTTTGACCTGGGAAAATCCTTCATGCCTTTCCAGCAGCTATTGGCTGTCCTGCCTGCTGCCAGCAAGGAACTGCTCCCTGAAAGCTACAGGGTAACGACTCAAACCCACATGCAGCATTTATCAGCAGGACTATATGGGCAGGGTCCAGACATACAGAGGAATGATGCTCTTAGTGTTAAAATAAAAAAGAAATCAAGCAACCATTTGTTTTAAATTCATAGAGGTACAGAGTCACTGTTCTAATGCTTAGTGATGAACATTTGGACAAAATGAATCTTAACTGAAACTGTTGGGGAATTGATATGGTTTTTATGTCTGCAATTTCGTGTAACTTGCACTTTCTTTCCTGTTCCATTTTCTAGAAGTTTCCATGTCATCATAATCATAGAAAATACAAACATTTTGGTATAACAAGTGTTTAGGAAATCAAGTTTTCTTAACAGACTGACATGCAAATGCTAATTTTTAAATTTTTTTTGTGGATTTCTTTAGGACTTGATGACCAGCCCAAGCTCCCCCATTATTGAATACTATCCTCCTGACTTCAAAACTGACCTGAATGGAAAGCAGCAGGAATGGGAAGCTGTGGTGCTCATTCCTTTCATAGATGAGGTGTGTACACACACACATGCACACACACACACATACTAAGTTGTCTCACTATCTTTGATCTTTGTTGGGCCTTTCCATTGAATTTCCTTAATTTCCTCAGCCTAATCAGGACCCTACACCCAACCTAAACTTAACTCACACCTTAGTCCTAAACATGACCCCTGACCCGAAAACAGCAGTTCCCCTCCCTCATGGGCTCCACTCATTGGGCCCCACAAAGAGCTGTCCGTACCCGCAATGTGTTATTTTTCAGAAAATTGGCCCATCAATATATAAAAAACAAGAACAAAAACACTTGTTGTCTTTTCCATTACCTTCTATTCAGTCCCCCTCATTTCTATGGCCTAAACAATACTAAGACATACTGAACCTAACCTAAACTCAATTCACACCTTAGTTCTAAACCTAACTCCTGCGGCAAGAAGAGAGCCTTTCCTCATGGGGACCAGTTATTGGTTCCCACAAGTAACTATAAGTCCCCTAAATGTATCATATTCCTGGGAAATCATCCCCTGACAAAAACATGGCCACAAACACTAACATCCAGGGCCAGCAGTTAACCTTATAAACTTGTTTGTTGGTAAACAGACATGCCTTCTAGCAGCTATGGAGCCTTTCAGTGACAAGCTGACGAAGGAAGAAAAGGCCAGGAATCGGCACTCAGAGTGTGCCATGTACTCCTACGACCCCGACATGGACTTTACATACACCTCCCCCCTGCCTCAGCTGTTTCCAAACATCACTCATTGTCATGTCAGGTAGATATGCACTTTTTTCCCTTGTAATTTCTAAAAATCACCACAGTGTGGTGCCGTTTTTAGTGTTCAAATGTGTCTAATCATTGACTTTGGTCTGCTTGCTGCTGGTTCGTTGATTGTTACAGGGAAGTCCAGATCCCCATGGATGCTTGGCATGTAGCGTTAGACCACGTCAGTAAGCGTGTTGACCGCTCAGCTTTGTACTTCTGTGGTTTCCCCACTTTGCACCACATCAAACACAAGGTGGGTGGGGGTGCCTGATGGCATCCAACACACAGTTTCAAGTTGATTCAGCTGTAATTCAACCTGTTAAGTTTCACTCAGCTTTATAAGAGCCATTTCAAGTTTTCCTGTTTAGTTATTAAAACTTTTTCTTGATTTGCTGCCTGTAGTTTTATAAGAAGAAGAGTGGAGTGGTGGTGTTTCAGCAGAGTAGCAGAGGGGAGAACATGATTCTGGACATCCTTCCCAATCAAGATGGGGAAACGGTGAGCATTCCTTTGTCCTTTTAAGCCTGAGCTATGAACAGGTCATTCTAAAAACCAGCATCACAAAATTATCAGCATTTGTCACTAGTTTGATTAAAAAAAAAAAAAAAAGTGTAATCATGACTGACTTAGAAGTTTTGGAGAACTTTAAAATGAACCTTATTGATAATGAACTCGAGTTTAGTGTAGTTCTTCCTGATGGAAACTGCTCTTCACATGGGAGTAAATATTGCAGAAGCTGATCTTCAACTATTTAGCATTTTTACTTTTTTGTTCAGAAAACAGCCTCAGTTTTACTCTTTAACTACAAGAGTTTTGTTGCTCCATTCATTTCCAGAGAGCTCAGGTGGGTACCCTCTCACGTCTGACCACTGATATATATATATATATATATATATATATATATATATATATATATATATATATATATATATATATATATATATATATATATATATATATATATATATATATATATATATATATATATATATATATATATATATATATATATATATATTATATATATATATATATATATATATATTTTTTTTTTTTTTTTTTTTTTTTTTTTTTGTAATACTCTAAGAAATCTTGGCTTACTAGGATTTCAATTCTTGAATTGAGCAGGTAATTGAGACACTTTGCCAATGAAATTAGGCAATTTACATAAAAAAAAAAAATCTGCAGTCTCCTATTCCAAGTATCTAAATGTTTACTTTTAAGGGTAAAAATACTTATTCAATTGGCAGATTATCTTATTTCCCTTCTTAAATTAAGGGTAAATACAGTTATTTAAAAAAAGATGTACTGATTTGAGATATTTTTCCAGTGTATCGGTGGATACTGTCTCTGCGCAGGCAGGGGCTGTTGTATGTTTTGGGTTTGGAGGTAAAGTTGACCTGATTTTAACTGTAGAGGGGTGTGCAGGTGGTGCAGTGGTTAGTGCGCACGACTCATGTATAGAGGCCTTAGTCATTGACTTGGCTGACCTGTTTTCGAATCCGACCTGTCTCATGTTGCAGTTAAACAGTTTGGTCTGTGTTAAACTTTAACATATACATCACATACTAAAGTAGAAGTTAAGTCTTTAAAGAAGTTTATGAAATGTTACTTAAACATTCACCAAAATCATTCTTGTGTTGCTGTAAAGTTGATGTCTTTGGGTGCATAAACTGTTACTGCTTCAAATCCGGTAAAGTCAGTGATTAAAGTAACATAATTTATTTTAATATTCCAGCTTTGTTCTTTTTCCTTTCGTCTCTGTCTGCAGATATGTGATCATGTTGCTGCAGACGTTTTGGGGAAGTCAGTATTTGTCAACTGGCCCCATCTAGAGGAAGCACGCATTATTGCAGTATCAGATGGAGAAACTAGGTAAGGATTTTAACCACTCTGAAAATGAAATGACTTATTTTGACCTAAGGTCTATTAAGAATCACTACTATGTGCTGTTTTATGGCCACAGTGTTTTTTCTTAAGTACTTTCTAAATCGAATTCCTGTTCGACTCATCACTTTTTAATGAGGGGCTAAAAAAAACTTGTTCCTCTAATAGGGAGAAATGAAATATTATGGAAAAAATAGGGAATATTTGACCGCTATACTTTGACAGTTTTAGATGTTTCCCCTTGGTAGATCCTCTTCGTTTACCTTTTAATCACTGAGAAAAAGTACAAATTTGCAACCCATCTTTCAGGTTTGCTTTAGATGAACCTCCTGGGGTCCAACAAGTGTACGACCGGCCTTCCAGTCCTCCTCCTACTAAAGTTTCCTGTTTGTCTGACAAAGAGCAGAAGGAATGGGTGAAGGATGTCCAAGGAATCACTGAACAGTAAGTTACACTAAACAATTAGAAAAACAAATTCTATCCAGTGTCATAACCACTTTTTTTTTTTTTGTTAACAGTTTCTTCAAGAGGAAAGGCATCGTAGTAAATGAGACACACTTTTTTTTTTTTGTTAACAGTTTCTTCAAGAGGAAAGGCATCGTAGTAAATGAGACAGACGTGCTTCTTTACGGTCAGATGCTGACAGGAAGAAAATATGTCCCTAAAGCCAATGGAGTGGTGGAACTGGAGAAACAGTGGGCCAAACAGGTTCTTCCTTTCGCCTTCCAGACTGTGGTTAAGGTACCTCAACACACACACACACACATTGAAATAACGTATGGATCTAAACAGAGGAAAATGGTTAACTTGGATTTTAATCCTACCAATCAAATATTTTAGATATGAGCAAAACTGCAGGAAGGGAGGATGCTGTAAAGCTTGGACTATTAAACCCCTGAGAAATGTCTAGCAGGAACAATATTTATTTATCTTCATTATGTATAGAAATGTTTCCTGTTTACAATTTTTTGTTCCTGATAAGTCATTTAAAATGAAATTGTCTTTACAAAGTCTCAGTTTGAGATTTTATTCATAAAAAGAATCTGTCCCAGCTGTATGTTTGACATTTATGTATACGGATAGATTGGTACGGTAAGAGGCATTAATTGTATTGTGTAGGATTATTCTTAATTTGCTCTTAAGTGGAATATGGTCATCAATAAAAAAGCTGGCATTCAAGGTGCTATAAACTGCCGGACATATAATGCAGCCTGATCCACGTCCTAATTTCATCTTCCCTTCAATTTTTAGGACATCGAGGCATTTTACTCATCTCTGTCCAGCTTTAAGAGTTTGGATGAACTCTTCCCTCCAACAACTACAGTCTTCATGGTGGGAAACCCTTACTACGGTGCCATGGGAGAGGTGAGATGTTTACATCCAAAAGATCAGATTATCCATCTCGTGCTTTAAGCTCAGCTTTTTTTTAGAGCTTAGAACAATTTCTCCTCCTAAAAGTATTACTTTTTAAGCTAATAGTTTCAAATCAAACTACAAAACCCAGCTTACTTTTTTCATCTTAAAAACATAATCCTGAGCTTAGATTCAGCTAGCGTAAATACCAACAAATTAGAAATCTTAGTCATCTTTAAGTTTTAGTCTGGCTGTGTTATTAGCAGTGTACACTTTTATTGGTTTACTTTAAAGAAAGTATGCATCAGATGTACTTTTTCATCCTTGGAAACCTAACTTTTGCTGCTAGTTGGTCAGTGTAAGCTGCTTTTACACCAGCTGCTTTTGAAAATTCCATCTCAGGTCCAAGACTCTCAAGATGTCATCAAAGAGGGCCGGGTCCGGGTAGTTTTCAACGTACCTCATGAGCCGCAGCTGGAACACCTGATCCACAATCAGCATGTGAGACACATGGAGACACGAGCATCTCGCTTTAATCCAGGGAGTCTTCTACATCCTCATTTGTTTATGTTGACTTTCCAGAAATACTCAGTCAAGTACTGTCCAGGCTACGTCCTGGCCTCTCACCTCGGCATCAGCAGCTATCTCGTCTCTCGCTTCTCAGGAAGCATCTTCATCGGCAGAGGCTCAAAGAGGAAGTGTGTTCAATACTTTTTTTATTCAAGATGATGATAGTCTTTGTTTTGTCGCCTTTATACTAATCAGTCCTTGTAAATCTTAATGTGTCCAGTCCCTGTGGGGAGCAAAAAGCTAATGTTGGGCTGAACCTTAAGTTCAACAAGAAGAATGAGGAGGTACCTGGGTACACCAAGAGAACCGAGAAGGAGTGGCTTTACTCTGCTGCTGTTGAGGAGCTGCTAGCTGAGTACCTAGACAGGTACACTCTTTACTTTTATTTATCTGCTGCTAAGATCAGTATGCATGTATCAGTATGTGTCCTTCTAGTGGACAAATTAATCAAGCCAAAAATGTTTTATTGAAGAATTTCAAGACTGAGGATGTACTTCAAGCTCAGAGGAAATTGAGTCTGTTCATTTATTAAGAATGAAAATAATAGCCATATCTTTCTCTAAGCTAAATTGGCAAGCAGCTGTAAACGGGAGTTAACACTTGGTTTTCTTTTGAAATACCATTTCTCATTTCTTGCTTTGTAGATTTTCTGAAGTTTTTGATGCAGTGTCCAGAAACAGTCATGATGATGTGTTCTATGAAGATGACATCTGGCCAGGAGTGGATCAGAATGGGTAAGAACGAAGGATGCGCCTCAACCAGACAACACTTTTTATTTCCTGTCCCTACCGAGACTTTGGAGACTTTTGAAGCCAAGAGTTTAATTAAGTTAAGGCCGCGGTTCTCAAAGTGTGTGGCGCGACCCACTGGTGGGGAATTGAGACGTGACAGGTGGGGCGCGCCAAGTTCCGGTGTGTGTGTGTGTGTGTGTGTGTGTGTGTGTGACTATAAATGTAGAATGTGTGAGAGCAAACTGTCCTTATAGCTGTATGTTGCCGCTTTTTAGACCAATCAAACCCACAAAGTAATCATTACTAGCCTACATGCAGTCTAATTAAAAGAACATTAGATATGAGAAAAATTTCACCTGGAACTGAAGTGCCAAAATAATGATTGACTTGACGTCGGCATATTATTTGTAACGGAATAAACTTTCGCGCCCCAGTGTTGCCAACTCAGCGACTTTGTCGCTATATTTTAGACCTCTCCAGCGACTCTTTTTAAAAAAAGGGACTAGCGACAAATTAGCGACTTTTGGAGACTCTTACGTGAAAGCACGTATCGTTCCTTTTCTTGTCCTCCAGCGGCAGGTGCTGCCGTGGGGCGCCTCCGTCCCAACCCCGTTCTCCCCCGCTATCGCAGGAGTCCCTCTCAGCGCTGCAGAGACACAGCATGTTTACCCTCAGCGTCCAGACTGCAAATAAAGCGCACATGCGCCGGGATTGACGGCGCAGGTTGATCATAAATAACTGAATTTGAAATATTTTATCTTAAATAAATAGGACCAGTTTATTGAAATGACGTCTGACTCCACCCTGAGGCTCAGGTTTAATGCTCAGACTAATAGTGAATTCTGGTTTGGAGTGGAGAGGGAGTATCCACTCATCGGGCAGAGAGCTGTGTGCATTCTTCTTCCCTTTGCCACATCATATCTCTGTGAGATGGGCTTTTCAACTGTTGCTTCACTGAAAACAAAATACAGATCTCAGCTGAACATTGAGCATGACTTGAGAGTGGCAGTATCAAGCCTGCAACCCCGTTTTGAGAAACTGTGCAATGCAAAACAGGCTCATTGCAGCCACTAATGCAGGGATAAATAGACCTGTATTGCCAGATGGATTTCACTTCTTTTCTTTTATTAACAGATTGCAGAGTGGCACTTTAATTTTTTCTATCTTTGAGCTTGATACAAATTTTGACACAGCTGCATTTTTATTTTCTTTATTTTTGAGCTTGCTGTTATTTGATGTAGATAGTTTGTATTTAGATACTACTTGTTACTTCAATAAAATTGGAAAATTTTAAGATTGTTGCATATTTCATTAGCATTGTGTTGGGGCGATGGGGACAGGCGGGGCTTGAAAATTCCCCCTTGTCCAAAGTGGGGAATGACAGAAAAAGTTTGAGAACCACTGAGTTAAGGCAAGATAGTGGTGCTGTAGAAAACAGCAGGTGTTTAAAGGAATAGTACACCCAAAACATGATTAGCCTTCATTTTCTACTCACCCCCATGCTGAACAACACTCTGGAGTACTTCAGCCTCCAGTACTTCGGGGTACTGGATGCTTCTTGCTGTCTGCTGACATTCAAATAATGGAGGTCCATGGTGCCCGAGACAGAAAAGTCCACAAAAAACGTGTCAATATTCCTCCATTCTTCTCGTCCAATGTATTCCAAGTGTCCTGAGTGGATAGCATCCAGAATTTACTTGAAACGAAGTCATTTAGAATGTTTTTAGAGCATAAACAGTAGTGTATAGGATTTCCTGAAAGCGCACCAGCGCGTTCACGGCGCTACGGAAGCCGGCAGACCAAACCAGATGAAAGTGCACATTCAGCGTCTGCTCTGCCGATAATGCAAGCGTAGAAGAAGAAATGTGCTGTTTACCTGTGCAAAGAAAGAAACAACGAAAGAAAAATGTCTGAGGACTTCAGTGTTAAGGAAGAGCATGAGTTCTTTGCCGAGCTGAATGCGCACTTTCGTCTGGTTTGGTCTGCCGCGGTTTCCGTAGACTCGTGAACGCGCTTTTAGGAAATCCTATACACTACTGTTTATGCTCTAAAAACATTCTAAATGACTTCGTTTCGAGTAAATTCTGGATGCTACCCACTCAGGACACTTGGAATACATTGGACGAGCAGTATGGAGGAATATTGACACGTTTTTTGTGGACTTTTATGGACATTTCTGTCTCGGGCACCATGGACCTCCATTATTTGAATGTCAGCAGACAGCAAGAAGCCTCCCAGATCTCCAGATGCATTTGAGATATCAAAAAAGTACTCTAGAGTGTTGTTCAGCATGGGGGTGAGTAGAAAATGAAGGCTAATCATGTTTTGGGTGTACTATTCCTTTAACAGTGTTTCTATATTTCCATGCATTGTGATAAAGAGTAGCAGCAGAATAATAGATGACAAATTTATTTTCTTTTAAATAACAATGTATGTTTAATCAGTGCAAAAAAAACATTTTGGATCACAAAAAAAAAAAGAATTTGGTTGCTTCAAATACTATTTATATGCTGTATTCCTTTTTTTTTTTCTTTTTTTTTGGCTTTTAAATCTGTAGAAAATGACTGGATTTTTAAAATAGCGTTCAGAATGGAAATGGGTAATTTTCTCCCCTATTTTCTCAGTCTGTTACTGACTATCTATGATCTATGTTTTCAAAAGAAAAACAACAACAATTAATTAAGATATGAACATAATGGACACAAGAAGGGCTTAAACAATGAATGACAGAAAAGTAATCCATCAATTAGTGAAATAGTCGTACACAAGTTTGATAAATAACTGGAGCATAGAGGCTTTTAAACCTGCCACTTACTGAAAATAAAACCCTTTAAAAGCAGTATAACCCTTTTGTTGCCTTGGACCCAGTTTTTTTTGGTTTTTTTGTTATTGTAACTCAACTCTGAGGTAAAACATTTGAGGATTTTGGTTTGGATGTTCTTCACTTCACAACAGGAAGTGATGAAATCAAAGTAAACAGACATCTCCTTGTTTCCCCTTTTTCTGAAGCATTTTATTTTCAAACCATTGAGAAAAAATCATTGGTAACATTTCTATTCTCATTTAATTTGACATTTTTTTATTGCATGCTTTCCTTTCCAGGGCAGAGAGGGTGGCTGAAATCACCTCCTGGTTGAAAAGTCATCCGGTCAGCTCCTCCAGCAGGGCATCATGTGACCTCCAGATTCTGGATGCTGCCATTGTGGAGAAGATTGAGGAAGCCGTGGAAAAATCCAAGGTGAAATACTCATAATATGTCGTTGTATCGTATTCTCACACATGTATGAGTCTCACAGTTTCTTCTCCTCCCTCAGGTGAAGAAAACCACCAAGAAAGTCCGAGTGACAGTAAAGCCTCATCTTCTGTTTCGGGTTGGTGTTAGATTATAGTAGACTTTTTTAAATTGAGAAGTCCACCTTTAACCCTTTATCATTGTGATTTATTAATTAACTAAATTAATGAACTAAACAAATTAATAATTTTTGTGTGTAGCCCCTGGAACAGCAGCAGGGTGTGGTTCCAGATCCAGAAGCTGAGTTTCGTCTGTTCGATAGAGTCGTCAACATCAGGGAGAGCTTCACCGTTCCTCTGGGACTCAGAGGGACAATCATTGGCATTAAAGGAGGTAAAATCTTATAAATTTTATCATGGGCTTCATACAATAAAAGGGTACCGATGATCCTGCTAATTTCAAACCCGCTGATCAGTGCCTGTCTTTGTTGATAGCGGAGCATGAACCTGAGGTTCTCTATGAGGTCCTGTTTGATGAGGAATTTGCAGGAGGTCTTAACATAAGGTAAGCGTCAGTAAGCATCAGGGAATTATTGGTCCTATCTGACCAGACACTGGAGCTGGAGCTGCTAATTAGTTGGTTCAAGTCTTTAAAATCCTCTTAACCAAGAGATGTGAATAGAAAACCAGTTGATAGGGGTCACAAGTTTATCAAATCTATGAAATAAGTCCTCAGAAGTAAATATAATCAAGCTGTGGGAAATATATTTTAATTTTTGACAGCAGTAGTAATAAAAACTACAAAAAAAATCAAAGGAACAAAATTTTAGAAAGCAGTGTTTTTACTGATCTTATCTTAAACAAAGAACCAGCTAAGTTCTCTCTCTCTCTTTCTGTCTCTTTATGTAGGTGTACATCTCCTCGTGGGTACCGCCTCCCTCCCTTCGCACTCATTAACCTCTCCCACGGTACTCGATTGGACCATGGCTTCCACAAACTCACCGCTGTTGTCAAACCTCAGCCTGCTACTGGTGGCAACCTCAACTCTCATCGTCTGGGAGGCCTAAACCACTCTCCTCGTTCACCTTTTGTCCCCACGCAGGTATGAGGGGAAAGAATGCACACAATACAGCATCGCTTGTAATGATATTTCATTACAAAATGTCACCTCTCACCTCTTTATCTGCAGCATAACAAGAATGCTGTGGCATCCCAGGGTAACAAAACTCCATCTAAAGGCCCCAACCACAAACCAGCTAAGGTAGGTGTTACATGTTATTCATGTCCCTCAACTAGATGAAATCAGTATGAAGACTTCTGTTTCTGTCCCCTCCAGTTTAAAGACGAGTACAGTAATGTTTGGCAGTCTCTGCAGCAGAAAACGGGTCCTCCCAATAAACCTCCTGCCCATTGGCACAATAATGTAAGCTTTTTTTTTGTTTCCTTTCAGTTTCTTAGGCTACAGGATTCTAATAAACCATAGTTTCAACCTTAGAACCAATTCATTCCAGATTTGACAACAGAGAAAAAAACCTAAAACAATTTCTCTTGCTTTAGTTTAGGTCATTGTTCCTGTTTAAGAAAAAACTAAGAGAAAGCTAATGCTATTCATTAGCTTTCTAAATAAGAGCCAGATATTGGTAATGTCCACCTATCAGGTCATGACCTTAAACCTAAGTGCACTTAGGTTATGTCCTACGGCACCTGATAAAAAAAAAAAATAAATAAACGAATATGTAGTGGTATAAACTAATGGATTCAAACCAGTTCAGCTTCTGATCCACAAGTTATTGGTTGACTAAATAATTATTTCTACTAAATCTGTTACCACGGGACTAATGTCCTTATAAAGAGTGTTAAAAGCTAAAGAAGTTGGTTTTGTCCATTTTAGTTGATTCTTAAGTTCTGTTGTGGATCTCAAGACCCCATACTGGTTGATCAGAAACTCTTAAGTGGAATCATGAGCCCAACTTGGTCTAAAAAAAAAAAAATGCTTAAATCTGGTTAACATGCTGTAGACACATCTTAAGCTGGCTGACCATCCTCAAAAAACCTTCCAGAGGACAAATAAAACAGTTCAGGAAATTAGACTAGTCCATAAACTGTATTCATAGTGATGTGTATAAAGAAAAAGAACAAAATCACTACTATTAATTTCAAACCCTTGATCTAAGTTGTCAGGATCAAAGGTTTTTCCAGTTAGATATATAGTTTAGAGCAGTTATTCCCAACCGGGGGAACGCGTACCCCTAAGTGGTGGAAGGGGTACATGAAATATTATTTTATTTATTTAGGTAGTAAAGAGAAATGGGGCTGGGATCTGTTTTGCTTTGTAAGGATCAATTGGAAAAAATGAAACAAGCTTTTATTAACCAAAATGACTTAAATGACTGATTTCATCTTCTGCTTTGATACACATCCAAACCAAGCAGAGGAACAGACTGGAAGTAAAGAACAGCCTGGAATCAGCTGTTTTTCACACTGGGCTATCGGGGGTCTTCAAAGCACCTCAGGTGTCTTAACAAAAACAAAGTAAAACTAAGAAAGTCAGTCTGAGTATAATTTTTGTTCTGTAATTTGCTCGAAATTCATCAAGTTTTAAATGTGATTATAGATTGTGGTTTATAATATGATTTTATTTTGTATTTATTTTGATTCCTTACTAACTTCCATGCAACATATTTATGGTTTTTTTTTGCGATGGAAAGCATAAAATGCCTCTGAATTAAATGCTCAAATAAAAGATTAAGTAAAATAGTTTTTATTATTGCATATTCCAGTTTTGGACAACCCTCTTACTCATGGTAAGACAAAAAGTTAAAAAAGATTATAAAACAATGGTTTAGAGGAAAGAAACATTTTACACATAAGGTCAGGGTTTATGTAGATGGCTGTATCCTCTCATAAATGAAGTCATTATTGATGATTATCTTGACGCATACAGATAGAGAGCTTCTTTAATGGCCAACAAGCTGTAAACATAAAACATGTAAGGTCTAAAGGGGGTACCGATCATATGAAAACACCTTTATCTGGACTCCACGTCAGATCCTGACAGTTCCTCTTTTGAAGCTCTGTGTTGGTTCTTGATTTATCTTAAAGCAGAAATAGATATTTCATGTTGTTTATTTGTCTTTGGTTACTTTAGTTATTTAAGTGTATTAAAGTTGAGGTTTCGCAGCTGAAGTTGAACCAAAGTCATACTCTTTACTTAGCAGGTCCCAGCTAGTGGCATCAGAGTGTTGAAGAAAAATGAAGATGTCAACTCCTTTTTCCCCCCAAAGAGCACAGCTGATAAGGTTAGAACAATATCCTGTCTTTTTTTTTGTTTTCTGTTTCATGCTCCGTGTTTTACCTTTTATTAAAAATGTTCTATTCTAGCTGATGTCTCCTGTGTTTACAGGGCACCACTGAATTTGAGGAACTGATTGCAAATTTAAAGATAGGCAGCCAACAAACGCCACCACCCCCTGCTCCTCCAGCAGAACCCAGCAACCAACAAGATGGTCCTTTGTCTCCACAGTCCTTTGCAATGGTAAGGCCGAGTTAAAGGTGGTGATTAGATCATTGAAATATTAAAATTAATTATATAAAACAGGCAGAATAAGTTTTTTTTTTTTTTGGTGGGGCTGTTTGTAGAAGGGAACGCTAGTTCTTAAGGAGATGCTAAAGATTGATGGAGCTGGAACAGGAAGTCCCACATCCCAGGAGGCGGTAAACCCTGCTCCCCCTGCTGGCCAGCAGCAGAACAGAAGACGATCAAATAAGAAGCTAGGTTTGTAGCTGTGCATGTTTCCATGTGGGGAGTGGTTGTGTCACTCGTCTCATTGTACATTTCTTCCATCCAGCTGCTAAAATAAACAACCCACCTGGTGAGTCTGTCGCATCATCCGCTCCAGCTTTAGCAGCTTCTGTCAACTCTGCTCCGAGCAGCAGGGTGTCTGAGCTGGCCTGTTTCTGCGTGGGCTTGGGCATGGCCCCTCCTGACTTCAGCTTCATTCGCAACCGACAAGTAACACCATTTGCTCTTCTTCTCCACCACTAATCGGACACTGATAAAGTTTGTCATTGTGATAACTTCTTTTTTACAACTGTTTGTCTCTCTAAGGGTCCGGTAGTCTGTCAGGTGAAGCTGTCCAATGGGCTAACAGTTCACGGACCGCAGTGTCAATCAGAAAATGAAGCCAAGGAGAACGCAGCCTTCTTTGCCCTCCAAAGACTGGTATTTAAAAACCTTAAATGGATCTTCTTCACCTTAGAAGCTAATAATCATCAGGTTTTTGCATGTTTGAAGGAGTTAAATACTCTAATCTGCACACGTCTGCCTTTTTGTTTACATCCAGAACTCTCTAGGGTCAGGGTTTCCACTGCCTCCTCATCTGTATCCAGGAATGGCTCCGATGCAGCGCCCACCGATGGGAGCCATGCCTCAAGTCTTCAACCAGCAGGGTCAGTGTGTGGCTCTCATATATTACAGATCATAGAGTTAGAGCGAGCAGCCTTAATGCAGGTGCTAATATTTTTAGAACCAAAATCTACATTGGAAGCAAATCCTATGTTTACTCAATCCACACAAACATCTATGAAAGTCAAGATTTTCACATGTATTTATGCTACAGACGCAAAGATCAGAGTCATGTTATAGGTCAACGAAAAGAAGCACATAATTCAAAAAGCAATTATGTGCACAAGTGGTTAGTGGTGAAAATTTTTTTTTTCTTAATCATATTTAAAGTGTTTACACATTGAAATCTTGAAATGAAGCCTTTTTGACACAATGCAATAATTTTCTCATTAGCTTTCTTTTTGTCTGACTTCAGTAGTTAATGTGTCCTGCTTTATTTATGAAACAATTTACACAAAAGCAGCCTGAGGCATAGATATTCAGTTAATGCAGCAGGTAATTTGAAAAAAGAGGGACCCGTATTCAGCTGTAGCTTAGGCACGTTTTTTTTTTTTCTGGACAAGTAGAAAAAACAAAAACAAAAAAACTTTCAAAACTGTGCGTTACTTTTAGAATGCTTTTTCCCCCTTATTTAAATAGATCAAATTTCTTCAAAAATCAAAATAGTCATTTTCTCAGATTACTGCATGTTTAGTTTATTGTAGGCAAAAAAATAACAAAAACATGCACTTTATGTATTTTATATCTTTTTGAATTGTAAATTGGACATTTTTGGCCCACATGGACAAGCGTTTAGAGTGGTTTTCAAAGTTCTTTACAATGAATCCTTGTGTATATTTTGTTTTACATTTAAGAAAAAATGGAGAACAACCATCAGCTACATTCTTATAACATCTTTTGTGGTTTATTTTGAGTTGGTTTGTCATTCAAATCCATAAATTCTGTAAAAATGTTGGTTTTTACTTGGATAAAAAATGTACAGCAGTTTGAGGTTTGAATACAGTTGAATTGCCGTCTTCAGATTTAAAGAAATGAAGTCCATCATTTGGTTTCTTTTCCAGGTGGTTTACTGCTGCCTTCTCAGGGTTACGGCCCCCCTCCTCTTTGGGGATTGACCCTTCCTCCTCACCAACCACTCAACCAGCCGTTCTATGGAGCACCAGGAACCTTCCCAGGCGCTGCTCGTCCCCAGCCTGGTACCTCTCTACCCATTGGGTCCCACAACCAGTTCATCCCGCTACAGGTGAGCTGTCACACCTATTAATGACGGAGCTGGGAGAGGTTTCATAATTTCTTTTTAGGTGTAAATTTCATCTTCTATTCTTCAAATTCCTACAGGTGACTAAAAAACGAGCATCGGCTAACAAAAAGAACCACGAAACCAGAGAGTTTTACAGCGCCGCCCATACCGTTGCCAAGAACCAATCCCAAAAGCAGCTCCCTGCCCAGTCGCAACCTCAGAACGAATCACAGAACCAGAGCCAATCAGAGGAAGCGAAAAGCAACTCGTCCAATCCCAGCCCAGCAGTCCAACACACACATCCCCGAAAGAGCGGGCCGGCAGCAGGCCACACCCCTGGCTCCGCCTCCAAGAGGAGGCACAGGAAGTTGGCTGTTAACTTTGAGGCAGCTAAAGTAACAGAGTGAGCTGAGCTTGTCTCTGTAAAGGTGTATGTTTAGAAAAAAGTGCTGATTTTTATTTTCTTTAGCCTTGAATTTTTTTTTTTTTTTTACTCTGATCGAAATCTCATTATTGTTTCTTGCAACCGTTTTAAAGAGAAAGCTGCTTCACTCTGGTGCATAAAATGGGACTTTTTATTTTTCATATCTAACCCTGACTAAATCAGTGCTGCACATCTCCCTGAGATGCCTTTTTTAAACTTAGACATGCCTAGTTTGTTTAAGGCAACAGGCAGCTGTTCAAATCTTTTATTAGGGTTTCTTGTTTTTCAATTATTGCTGAAGTAAAGTATTCCTGAAAACCAGTTCATCACACAGAATTAATCAAGCAGAATCAATTTTTTATTAAAGATTGCATAGCACAACTAAGGATGGGGGGAAAAAATGATGGGACTGGATTTTTTTTGTTCATAAATATTCCCACCTAGCTGTAGTGAAACAAGTTTATTGGATCAAAAAATCAAAAAGTTCTGGAGATGTTTAAACTAAAGGTGAAAATCTAAAGGAAAAATTAGGCTGAAGTTTTCTGCTCATTAATTGATTTGTCTTTAAAATTATAAGAAAAGTCATCAAATCGGACTTGACATTTCTAATTTCATCCAAGCCCTTAGATTTCTTTTTCTTCTTCTCCCCCTCTTTAAGACTTGTGCATTTTGTATTTCATATTTTTTTTTTTTGCAGCATTTGATTTTTTCCAGCCTGCTTTGACAGCACAGTGCCACAGTTTAATTATTTAATGAGTAAATATTTAAATAATTTTTAGTACAATGCAAAAATGACAAAGGAAAGTAAATGAATACATATGCTCTTAATTCAAATGTATAAAAATCAATATATTGACTTATTTAAGAGTCAAATTTGTTTTAGGATTATATGTTCAAGATGTATAGAACTCTTTTAGCATTTCATTAAATGTAGTGGCATTTTAAGTAATTTACTGTTATTGATTATACCCAACATTTCCTTGTTGAACCTGCCCAGCATATCAGATTATATTGAGAGGTGCAGTAGTAGCCCCAACCTCTAAATTCAGAATAATTTTATAATGTGTTAAAGTATCCAACTATAGAATAAAAAGCAGATGTTTATTATCAAATATTACATTTTCGTTTGTGTAATTACAGTTCATTTTAAAATTAGGAAATGTTTCACTCTAATTGACTTCATCTTTAATTGACATGTTTAAGTATTTATTTAGCTAATAAATTGTGGCACATTTAGTTGTGTGACTTAAATGGGCTCCAGTGAAAAGAGCAGGTTTTCTGTCCTCATCACTGTAGGAATCATGGGAGGGGATGTGGTGTCAGAAAGCTGGCATATATATACATCCACAGGGCCGCATGTTAAAGCGCCTCTAATCCTTCTGATTCAGGAGAAACCCAGCAAACAATCCTGGATCGTATTTCTCAGGGATGCGTATCAACTGCAGAAGCTCTCTTCGAAACGCGGCCATGGCTATGACCTAATCCCCCCACACTTATTTTTTTTGTTTTTTATATAGCAACCTGTTTGAATGTTTTCCGTGATTGTCGGCTTTCTCTTGCGGTTATTTCTTTTCCATGACATTTGCCTTCGATTGCGGCGGCAGAAGAGTTGATTTATGGTTCGGATTAGTGTTTTCCTTGACTAGCAGGATAGGTATTAATTGTCGTTTTGCTCTAATTGTTAACCGTATACACTTTATCATTTCCTGCTGACTAAAATAATTCTTTGTTTTTGTTATAGTGATAGTACTGCCAAATTGAAAAAACTGAGTGTAAAACAAATACAAAAAAGCAAAGCCTTTCAATTTGTCACCCAAAGTCAGCTCCTAAATTCTTTCAGATAAGTTTGCTTGTGTTGGATCTTCAGAAATACTTCACTGCCAGTTTTCAAAGTATGTTTTTCAGTTAATCTGGCCTTACGCTGCTGCAAACAAAAACCTGTTGAACGTAATCCACTTTTTGTCTTTGACATTGTTTGTGGCCTATTATACTACGAGGTGCACCTAGGAGGATTTTATGTATTAGATAGGAAATCCTATTGTGACGTCTGAGAGGAAACTTCAAATGTGTAATTTTCCCAACTTTTCATCTGTTGATATACTTTTTTTTTATGTTACCCCCCCTAAAAAAATTTAAAATGAATATAAGATTGAGGTAAACTTGTTTTACCAATCATTTTTTGTCTTACAGAACAGGATTTTATTCTGTCTATTGTCCTATTTTCTAAACACACTGTTTTTCTGAGGTTTTAATTCCAGATCGATTTGGTGTTTATATGGAGTGAGGTGCTTTAAAACTTTAGGTGAGCAGATGTTTGATTTGAACCAGATAACAAGTCTGTTTTAAAGATTTTTGTTTTCTAAATCATGGATTTTATCAGCAGGATTTTTAGAGTCTGCATTGCGTTGGTTGGGATTAAAAACTTGTGGAATAACTTTCATCTATGTTTGTTCAGAGATGTTGGTCCACGACGTGTCTTCAGCTGTTCCCCTGTTCTCCCCCCCCATTCTGTTTTCTTTCCTTCTTTCTTGTAACCGGATATTCTAATGTCAAGCATGGGACTAACATCTTTAGGCTCTGGTGCAATAAGTGGACGTTTTACAAAACTTTTGGATATTGAAGCACATTCTTTATTTGTTTTGTTTTTTTAGATCTGAAACAAAGTAGTGAATATTTGTGATTAAGATGTGCTGTACAAATCAATTTAATAAAACAAAGCTTTTGTTAAAACTTGGCTGTGTTTTTTTTTTTTTTTTTTATAATGTAACATTTTGCATCGGTTTTATGAGGGAATTAAGAATTAATGTTTCTACTACCCTGAATCTTTTTGCAGTCTCTAAAATGATGGATTTATATTTTCCAGACCTGGAGAAGTTCAAGAAAAGGGAGTACAGAAAAATATACGTCCTGACAATATTTCCTGTCCTGGTTTGAAAATGTTATATTTCTAATTTTTCTGTTCTTAAATGCTTGCATTTTGTGATCCACCCATTTATCTTCTGCATACTCATCCTTCAGTCTTTAAAGGTCTTTTTAAACGTCTTTAAATATCAGCTGTGCTGCTCCCATCACCATATTTGTTTATAGAGGTTGGAGCTTGGCCCGTGTTTCAGCGTAGTCCTGTTTCTCTAACTGTGACTAACTGGATGTGCTCTCTTTCCTCCTGTGACATGGGAGTTTGCTCGGAGCTCCTCTGCCTGGCTGTGCGTTTCCTTGACAGGCTGCCTGTGGAACTGGTTGACAGCTGCTTTTTGTATCTCTTTTTCTGTCTCCTTGAACCCCAGTCGACCTCGGCAGATGGGCGCTCACCATGAGCCTGGTTCTGCTGGATGTTTTTTCCTGTTAAAAGGGAGTTTTTCCTCTCCACTGTTGCAACAAGTGTGCTTGGTGTGAGGGATAATAGTCAATAAGTTGATGCAATCAACTGGTTTTCCTTAGATAGAAAACTTTTAATCAGTTTGACTGTATGATCTGGTTGAATTGTCTTTGTAAAGTGCCTTGAGATGACGTGTTGTGAATTGGCGCTATATAAATAAACTGAATTGAATTAAAGGCTTACTTTCTAGTCATCTATAGGCTGATTTTTTTGCTGGAATTGCTTTGAGTGATTGAAGGAATTACCTAAAAAGTTTAAATTTCTAATCAAATAGGGATAAATCAAGTTTTTATTCAACTTCATAATTATTCTAGCTTGAGGAAAAGTGTTGTGTCTGTTCAGATATCATTGCTATACAGCAGATTTATCTGGTTTGGGGACACAGTCCTGGAAAATTGACAAAACAAAGCTAAGTTCTGACATAGGTTGATCTAAATAAATCAAAGTATAGTTAAGAGGTTAGCTTGTTTCAATAATTCAAATCATTAAGTTATTTTACAGATTTAATAAAGAGGTTTATTTCAAGTTTTCTTATTATTTAATTTTTGCATGGACCACTATTTCATTTTTTGTTACAATTTCCTATATCTGAGCTATCCAGCAGACATTTACTGACATTCTTTTCAAGAGGGATAAGCTGCAAAATGGCCCTACTAAAGAAGCTGTTACACTATACTTAAGCATATTAATGAAAAACTGAGTGAAAGAAGATGCACAAAAAATATAAAAATGCCTTGATCTAGGTTTATGACACATTTACGTTTTTGACGGTGTTTCCAAAGAAAAAAACAAGAGCAAATGTTTAAAAAAACAAGGAAAAAACAGACACTTTATTTAGTGAGCACCAGTAGGTAAGTTCAAGAGAGTCAAGTTTTTGTTTAAACGCAACATAAAATCAGACAGCTGAAAAACTAACACTCAAGTTTACAGGCAGAACATTTCAATCAAAGCTTGGTGAGAGGAAGTTATCATTTAGTGTGCTTCAAACAAAAAAACTACCTCTATAGTATTACAAAAAAAAACACAAACAAATGAACAGTAACCAACAGTCATGGGAAGAACTTAGAATTTCTTTGTTTTTGTCAATTTCTCGTTTTAAAGGCATATTTAATTTATCTAGCAAAAGAAAACAACTCTGATTTCCCATTAATATATATATATATATATATATATATATATATATTCATATATATATATATATTCATATATGAATGTGTGTGTGTGTGTATGAGTACCAACTTTACGGCAACATGTGAACAGGTAATTGCTTTGTTTATCTACTGTACTTGGGCATACCACTGTATAAATAAAAGACAATCACAGTCTGGTTACTCTGGTTTCATTCCAGGGGAACTAACATGGGTTATAGTGGCCAAAGGGATCAAATATATATAAATAAAACCTAGTTGTAAACCTAGTTGGCATATATCGGCCATAGGCTATTATGGTCCCCCAATTGCAAGTCTTTAAAAATTTTATATATATTTTCCTCTGGCTGTAGATATTGGAAGGTTTAGCTGAGTATCCACTTTATTTCCTTGCCCATAAAGATCAACACGTGTTTTAGTAAAATAGTATGTTCTTCTGTCTTTCCTGTTTTGAAGAGAGGAAGGTCCCAAAAAATGAAATTGTGTCTAATTAGATCATTAGCACCAGAAATGGTGAGAAGACAGCAGCTCTCAAACACTGACTATTTTTATATTTCTGTCTGAGACTAGAAAAAATAGTTAATCTAGAAATGGACGGACTTGGGGAGCTGCTGTCTTCCACCAGATTTTATGTGGGAACTAAAAACAAAAAGTGTATCTAAATGTGTTTCATGTGCCTAAATTTGTTCCCCTAAGCATATTTTCCACTTTCAACATGCCTGCATGTATAATAATCTGTGTGCTTCCTCAGGTTCTCCTTTCATGTGTGTTTCCCACATATGTGTTCTCTATACACAGCACTATGTAGCTGTTGGAGCAGGAGCGTGGGTGTTGTCCTAAAAGCCGTCCCGTCTGCAGGAGTGCAGCCTGGCCCGTCACCGCCATGTCGCCTGTCCTCCACGCCTCGCAGTAGTTGGTGGTCAGCCGGATGCCAACCGTGGTCGAGCCATGCCACACCTGCTTCTCCGGCCTACAGGAAGTAGAGGAGGGATCAACTATCTCAAACAACAGTTTGGAGATTCTCCCTAAAAATATTCTTCCTCTTTAGTCTTCAGTAGGAAAGATTGAACTTGAAATCTTTACCTTTTTTTCTCTTATTTTTATAATAAAGCCAACAACGTAGTTTCCTAATAAAGGATGTACTTAATTTTCTACGATATTTACCTAGTTACTTTAATCATGATCAACAAAGCAAAACAGCAAATTTCTTTCTGAGAGTAGACAGCAAGAGAAAGATGGAGGATTGGCCATCTTGTTTAAAGATTCATTAAGTGATTTCTGGGCAAATTTATTTCTTGATCATTTGACTCTCTGGATAAAGAGCCCAGTAAAAACCATGTTCTTGAATATTTAACAGCCTGCTAAGTCCAAAACAAAGTTTTCCAATCATTTTAATTACCTTTTATCTGTGATAAATGTATGTAATTACTATTATTGTAGACTTCAAAAATGACATTGCCCTTTCTGTTGATCGAAGTACAATGCAAACTCTGTTACAGAGCAAGCATACTCAGGGATGTATTTTGGACTGATCATCAATAAGGGTTTAAACCTTTTTAGGTCTCTATAACTGATGTTGCCCAATCAGAACAATTTATGGTTATTTTTGAAAGCATAATTTCTAGTAACTCAGTCAGAGAGACATCAAAAGAAAAGACATTTTTAAGGAGGGCACTACTGAAACCTTTAAACAGATTTACTCATCTACCTTCACTTACACTGAAAAAAAAATAGAGGTTGACAGAACTTACATTTTCTAGGCAACGTGATGCATTTGGTTTTTTGAGTTTTCCTTACTTAAATTCACTGTGGTTGAGTTTACAAAGATTTTTGAGTTCTGCCAACTTAGGTTTTTGGAGTGTTACATAGAAATTTTGAGTTCTACCAACTTAGGTTTTTGAGTTTCACCTTTAAGTTCTGAGTTCTATCAACTTTGTTTTATGAGTTTGACATATAGATTTTGAGTTCTACAAACTCAGATTTTGTAGTGTTATCTGCAAGTTGAGTTCTATCAACTCAGTTTTTTTAGTCCTACCAATCGTCTTCACTACCAATCATTCAACACACAAAAAATTATGTTAATACAACATTTTTATTGCTTCAAGCCAAACATTGCATCAATAGATACAGTATAAAACCATGTTCAACAACATAATCTTAACTGCACAGATCAAAGTAACCTGACACTGGACCAGAATGTTCTAGATTCGTAAGAGTGATGATGAGGGAAAAAACAGTAAGACACCATTTTAGTAAGAGGAAAACACACAGGTAATTTTTTGTGAAGTAAGTGTATTAACATACACTATATTGCCAAAAGTATTTGCTCACCTGCCTTGACTCACATATGAGCTTAAGTGACATCCCGTTCCTAATCCATAGGGTTCAATATGACGTCGGTCCACCCTTTGCAGCTAGAACAGCTTCAACTCTTCTGGGAAGGCTGTCCACAAGGTTTAGGAGTGTGTTTATGGGAATTTTTGACCATTCTTCCAGAAGCGCATTTGTGAGGTCGCACACTGATGTTGGACGAGAAGGCCTGGCTCTCAGTCTCCGCTCTAATTCATCCCAAAGGTGTTCTATCGGGTTGAGGTCAGGACTCTGTGCAGGCCAGTCAAGTTCATCCACACCAGACTCTGTCATCCATGTCTTTATGGACCTTGCTTTGTGCACTGGTGCACAGTCATGTTGGAAGAGGAAGGGGCCAGCTCCAAACTGTTCCCACAAAGTTGGGAGCATGGAATTGTCCAAAATGTCTTGGTATGCTGAAGCATTCAGAGTTCCTTTCACTGGAACTAAGGGGCCAAGCCCAGCTCCTGAAAAACAACCCCACACCATAATCCCCCCTCCACCAAACTTTACACTTGGCACAATGCAGTCAGACAAGTACCGTTCTCCTGGCAACCGCCAAACCCAGACCCGTCCATCAGATTGCCAGATGGAGAAGCGCGATTCGTCACTCCAGAGGACGCGTCTCCACTGCTCTAGAGTCCAGTGGCGGCGTGCTTTACACCACCGCATCCGACGCTTTGCATTGCACTTGGTGATGTATGGCTTGGATGCAGCTGCTCGACCATTGAAACCCATTCCATGAAGCTCTCTGCGCACTGTTCTTGAGCTAATCTGAAGGCCACATGAAGTTTGGAGGTCTGTAGTGATTGACTCTGCAGAAAGTTGGCGACCTCTTCGCACTATGCGCGTCAGCATCCGCTGACCCTGCTCCGTCAGTTTACGTGGCCTACCACTTCGTGGCTGAGTTGCTGTCGTTCCCAAACACTTCCATTTTCTTATAATACAGCTGACAGTTGACTGTGGAATATTTAGGAGCGAGGAAATTTCACGACTGGATTTGTTGCACAGGTGGCATCCTATCACAGTTCCACGCTGGAATTCACTGAGCTCCTGAGAGCGACCCATTCTTTCACAAATGTTTGTAAAAACAGTCTGCATGCCTAGGTGCTTGAATTTATACACCTGTGGCCATGGAAGTGATTGGAACACCTGATTCCAATAATTTGGATGGGTGAGCAAATACTTTTGGCAATATAGTGTATATGAAAAAATAACAGTTTTACAAATTTGGACAGCCTTCAGTTTGTTTTTTTCAATTGTAGTCTCTTTAAATTGGGTGCACCCTTTTAAAAAAAATAAAATGAAATAAAATGTCTTGTTTCCCAACGGAAAAAGAAAAAGGTTTTCCCTTTTTATCTCTGAGTTTTTCTTTTTAGTCCTACCACTCCGACAGGACGATGAATGCAAAAAAAGAAAGTCCTCTTCAGTCCAAATCCTTCTCTTCAGTCCAAATCCAGATGTTCACACGGTTGGCTCGCCATCTCCATTTAAGGAGAGAATCCAGATTCCAGGGTATCCAAAAAACCCAGCCTGCATAGTACAACAGAGCTTAGTTAAATCCATTCACTTCTTGTTCTTAACTGTACAGTTTATATCTCTCCAAGTATGATAAATTTCAGTGTGTAATGTAACTTTTCTAACTCATTACGAATTAACTGCTGCATTACAGGGTTAACATATAAAATGTTAATGTCACTGTTTTTCTTGTAAAGCAAATAAAATCATGAAAGCAAAAAATCCACATGTAAATAATGTAAATAACAGTAAATACCCACATCGGATTAAGAAAGTAAAATAATGTAGTCTTGTAATATTCTGTGCCTGAGTGCAACAACACTGCACTACATAAAACAATTTAGAAATTTAATAAGTTATTACACTCAACTTAATGTCTCTTTTCATTTGTACAATGAAAATAACAGGCACACTCTTTTCTCTATGCATAAACACTCACCCGCACAAGCGCGGCATAAACACGCACGCGCACACGCGCATTATAAACGCGCACGTGCGCTGCTTTTCCTTTCATCAGAACGTGAAAAACATGTGAACTCATGCTTCAACTCGGTGGCAATACACCACAAGGGAATGCTAACTCACGGAGCTAACCGCTAACTGTCTGTACTTTGCAGCACTCACCGGGAAAACTGGTAAGGTCCCAGGGTCGTTCCTCCGTGGTTCTCCAGATGCATAAAATCACAATGTCCGCCAATCTTCTCAAACACGAGGGAAAAAGGCTGTGCCCTTGAAGAAAGGGATAGGAAACCCCGTACCGTAGTGGGCGTGTCCATGAACATAAGCAGTGCGCATGCCCATGAGTTTACAGTTGAGGGAACTCAAAAAATCTTGTATAGGCGATTTAAAACTCCTTGTTAAACCAACTTCTGAGAATTTGAGTTGGGCAAACGTGTATTTATTTGTTAGATGTCAAATTTATATTTCTGAGTCGGATTACAATACAATTGTGTGTTAGAACAACAATTGCCATTTACTTTTTTAACAGTGTACAGTTTTATTTGCCATCCTACCAGACCCTGAAAATTTTTTTAATAACTTCTCTATTGAAAAAAAAAAAAAAACAAATATCATAGTGGTTGTCTGTAACAGCTTCAGCTCTAGCACCACAGTTTTCTCCAACTAGAACTGATTTTGATATTTCCAAAATTTCACCCAATACATCACAACAGCTTGGAAGAAATTGGAAACCTTCCGAGGTCTTCCTCCTACAATATCAATGTTTACTCACAGATTTCCTTATGAAAAGCTCTGCCTGTCATTACCGATTCAGCTCAAATAATAAACACATCCCTTTTGTCAGGTGTTTTTCTCCAGGCCCCAAAGACAGCAAATATCAAACAGCTTTTGAAAAAGAATAATTTGGAGAAGCTGCTACTGCAGAACATCTTAACCCTCTCCTTAATCAGCATGATGACTGAAAAAGCCTCCTTATAATAAATAATCACCTTTATGTCTTCCAGTCAGACCTTTTTCTTAAGGTGCTCACTGTCCTCGGTAGAAATGCAGATTGTGGAAGAACCACAGTGCTGGTATTATTGGACCTTGGTGCTGCATTAAATACTTTATCACTCTGTTTTATTAGAGCACCTGGAAAACTAGCACACCACTGGACTGGTTTAAATCTTTCTTAAAGGACAGGGACTTTTTCTTTGCTTAGAAGGTAACTTTACATCAAAGACCATAAAAATCATGAGCATTTCCCAAAGGCCTAAATTAGGAACCCTCCTAATCGATATCTAGATGCTCCCCCCAATTTAAAATATAATAAACAACATTATTAGTTTAGATTTTTATGCAGATGACACACATTGTTGAGCTGAATTCATACCCCGCCTTCCTCTGAGTATAGGGAAGAGTGTCTCCCTGGAGATAGACTCCAGGTGAAGATAAGATGTTAACTCAGTGGGCAGCAATGAGCACTATGAGGGTGCCTGGGTGAATGCACTACAAGAAAGTTTGTTCCAAAGAGAAGGAGCCAGTGTGTCAGAAATTGTTTGAATATTCAGATTAAAATGTTAAAATATTATAAAAAATAAAATAAAAAAAAGGAATTATTTAAAATGTAATTGAGAAGGTAAATTAATTCTATAATGTAAAAATGTATCACTTAATAATGCTTTGAATATGTTTGATTTTGGGTTTAAATCTTATATTTTCTTCAGGGAATAATTTGGTTATTTAAAGGATGTTAATCATTGTTTCTCTGTGTTTATATTTAAAGGTTTTTCAACCTACTACTACTATTATCAATGCTACTGTGGTTGATTAAACTTTCAAATAAAAAAGAAAAACGGAAAGAATTAACTTTGTTGTTCTGAGTGAAATCCTGTGAAATCTCTGGAAGCAAGCTCCCTTTTCAAGTGGGGGAAACCTGCAGTTTCAATCCCAAACAAAAAAGTGTGAACCACTTGACACACACATGTTATGTCACCAGCCATTCAAACAATGGCTAAATGCATTGTACATTTTTCTCTTAGTTAAATCAATACAAAACCAAAGCATTAAATGTGTGTGATGAATTATTGGCTTTTTGCTTCAACATTTGAGTTGTAGTAGTGTTGCTCTGAAATAACGTTTGCCTGCAGTGTGATGCAAATTCCCTGGCATGGTAGAAATGAATCCATTACATACCTCTATAGTTACTGTGTTAAATGTTAAGGAAGGTGTGGTGGCAGGATTATTCTTTAATGGAAAGTAGAGGCTGGTCAAGGAATATTTTTAAATCTGCTCTTAAGTCCCAACTCTATTTGGTATTTGAGCTGGTGATTTAACTTTTTCTAGTTAGTGGTGTGTTTGATGTTGCTACTTAGATTATTTGACAATTTTTTTAAATCTTATTTTCCTCAGAATTTGAATGCCTTTGTTTAAATCAATTATGCATTCTTTGGTCAGTGCTTTCTGCTTATGAAGTCCTTTATAAATAAAGTTGGCTTTAATACAATAATTAAAATTGAAAGTATAAGTTTGTTCTCATTTAGGTGCCCCAGCTAAATATCCAGGAATTATGGTGATTAGGATGGAACAATATTCTCTTTAATCACCCGCAAAAGTAGCACCTCGCATGTTCAATTTTGAGACTTTTTAAAAGCAGGATTTTACCTGCTGCTAATATCCACTCACCACGCAGGATCGGTCATTATATTGCGTCCATCAAAAGAATAGATAGGTGTTGATGGATTAAACACTCCTCCATTCCCAGAGAAGATGGAGTTCCAGCTTGTAAATAATACTTCACCCTGACAGCAGTGGACAAAAGCAAAGTTAGCTGATACATTCTTTTAAAATGCAATTAATGATTTCACTCAAATTAAATCCATTAATAAAAAAACAAAAACAAAATAAAACAAATACAAGGGATGAGAAATCTTACTGTGAAAGGCTGAACTAGAGAAAAAAGTAGAATAGAAGGATTTTCTTACTCTCAAATTAACCACAGGAAGGTCGTTGCGGTCAGCTTTCTTTACAATTGTTGCCAAGTCCTGGAGGTGTGAGGAGAGGAAAGCCCTGTAGGTAGAGGTAAGTCCCCTGGAGCGTGCTTGCTGGTGGCACTGGAAGTCTGCACCACGGATGCCACGCATGTCCCCTTTGAGAGGCGAGTTCAGGGCCACTAAATGGAGCTGAACTCAGACAAGAAAGTGAAGCAGATGAAAAATAAACAGTAGGAGATGTAAAGGCAGAAGCAACTCAATGTGGCTGAAGTGGAGCAAAGTAGAAAACAGTTGGTCCATAGTGAGAGACTCAGATACATACACATCGAATGTGCATGAGTGTGTTATACTTACTCCAGGTATGGCCTCAAAGGTCTGTGGCAAAATGTAGCTGGGTTGATATCCCCTACTCCCCTCCTGTAATTCCTAATCAAAGAAATTAATGTAAGATGATTCAAAAAGATAGTTGGTTTATAGATAGTCAGTGGTGTCAAAAGTTCACACATTTGTTACTTAAGTAGAAGTACAGATACTGCAGTTTAAAAACACTCTGGTAAAAGTTGAAGTATCAACTTGACCTCTTTACTCAAGTAAAAGTAAAAAAGTATGTGCTCCAAAAACTACTTAAAGTATAAAAGTAAAAAGTAACCTTTAAAAAAAACAGCCAGATGCCACCATATGAATTAAAGGCTTAATTTTTCGACTATTTCGAAAAAATTCTTTGAGATAGGGCCAAGGATGAGGGAGGTCTTGTTGGTCTCCCGATACGCTCTCGCCTGTTTCCGACCTTTCAGACATTTCAACATCTTTTTCTGAATCCAACATTGTAGCACGGCATAGACAATTCATGTTTGCAGTTTAAAGAACACCTGCTTGCTTGTGATGATTTCCTTTAGTTCACCAATGAGTGTTTGCATTATATGACTCATCCAATTACACTAGTTTTCACTAGATATGGATGGCGCCAATGATCTGCATTGAATGGCACACATGACGGGAAATAAATATTCATAAACATTAAACCGAAGCCAATATTAACGAGTAACATTTGTTTTAAAAATGTAAGGAATAGAAAAAGCAGATACTGTGGAAATGTAATGAGTAGAAGTCAGAAGTAGGAAGAAAAATAAGTAATACTAAAGTATAGATACCTAAAAAGTTTACTTAAGAACAGTAATGAAGTATTTGTACTTTGTTACTTGACACTTCTGGATGGAGTATGACTGTTTATGTCTTTGCTTAGACTTAGACAACTTTTATTGTCATTTTGTATACACAGAGTGTATACAAAATGAAATTTTGTTTTGTACAGCTTTCATGACATTTCCATTTCTTAAAGTGCGCAGAAATAAAATTTAAACATTGTGGGAGAAACAACATGTTGCAAAAAGGCATTGATATGGCAGATAAGAGCATTAATATTTATGCTGCAGATTTAAAGTTTTCTCAACAGTTCAGATGTTTGATGGCAGTTGGGAAGAAGCTGTTTTGTTACCTATTTAAAACCTTTTCTGGTATATTTACTACCCTACCGAGGACCAAGAGGCCTAATGGAAAACAAAGTCTGGTCATAATATAGCAGGCCCCTGTTTTTTTTTATGATATTGAGTAGATGTAGAGGTATTGTAAGAATTAGCTTTAGGTTAAAGTTAGGAATACACTGGTAATGGTTAGAGTAATAGTAAATAGCAGAAACTAAAATGAATACCTGTCAAGATAAAGTCCTAGAAATACAAACATTTGCATGTATGTTTGCACAAACCTGGCTGTGAACTCCTTGCAGTCTGCTCCAATCTCCTGCTCTGCTCAGAGCTTGCGATGCTTCTGGTGAAGAAGCTTCCTTAGGGATCAGCTCCCCCAGCTAAGAAAATAAAATCAGGTGAAACGATGTAAGTTATTTATTTGATATATATAGACATTTTTGCAGTTGCCATATGTGACAATTTTTGTATAATTCTAATAAAATCACAGATACACTTTCATGCCCACAGGTAAAGTCAATTGAAATACATCACATAAGTGAAAGTAAATGCTGACAGAAACATTGATGGCACAGTGTCTAATCCACGACTATAGTATGTTTGCACATTGCTTCTATGCCAACCACAATCTACAATATCAGGATTTTTTAAAACCAACACAATTTAGTCCAAAACTAGGAAGAGAAATACATGAGATTCTTATGCAGATTTTCTCTGCATTGAGGTTCCTTATTTTGTGAAGCATCTCCACAGTACTTAATTAGAAAAATACTTGATTAATTCCAAAAGGAAATCAAATGTTGAAGCAACTCGTTAGCCCTTTTCAGTTAGTTCTTATAGATGTGGGTAACTGTATTCAGGAAGGATCTTCTGCAGAGGTCTGATCTGTAGAAGTCTTTGCTTGAAGACAACCTTGGTGTTTGATTTGTCTTTTGAAGATGATAACCATTGTTGTCCATAATTTTCTTCATTTTACAAATGTTTTTTTTTACTTGTGAAAATATCTCCAGAGGTTCTAGATGGGTTCCTAGAACAGAGCCGATCTTCATGTTGCTGCATATATGTTTTGTGATGGGGATGGTCTATTCAGGATGATGTGCTTTTTACATAGAGACCAAAAAGTTTATTCTAGTACTTCTAAGTTTTACAAATTTTTGGATGTGTTTGCATTTCCCCCTGCATGGCTTTTGCAATCTGATAGCTGCATTTCTCCAAGCATCACTCTGACAAGCCAGTTAATACCCACTGCACAGATATGAGTATAACATCAAGAAATGTAAATCGGAAACTGACATAGTACCAACCGGTATTTTGCGCCACCCGTTGCGTGCTCGGACGTATAGCTCTCCTCCCTTCTGTGAGACGTATGCCAATGTTCCCTCAGCTGCTCGCTGCATCTCTCTGGTGAGAGCTTGGACTGTCTTGAAAGTCATCACCTGATCACACCCCATCACAATATCAGTGCTGGCACTTTGTGACACTTTGGTGGATCATCTACCGATTGTACAGCCGAACTTGGAGTGCTTATCTTACCGGGTTTGCATAACCTGGGGATCCTGGTGGACCGGGAGGACCAGGAGGACCAGGGACAGTGACATCTAAGGACAAGACATGCGTTAGAAGAATAGATATACCTTTCATTGTCCTACAGTGGAGAAGCAGTGAGGCAATAATGAAAACATACAGGTACACCAAATATATAATATGGAAAATAACAAAAATCACTGTGGACTTAAAAAAACTTGGAAATTTGGATTAAATGAAACATGTTTAAGATAAACAATAAAACAACAGTCCATTTAGAGAAAAAAAATCAAAGTATAAATGTAGAACGAACACCTGGACCTTATAAAACTGTAAAATAGTCGGGAAAACTAAAAAATAAGGGCATTGATGTACAAAATTCTGCGCAGATAAACACTGTCAAATAAGAGTTGAGCTGCAAACATGTTTTGGGTCTTTTGGGAGCAAAAAAAATCTAAAAGTTCTAATAGCAGCAGGGAGGAAGGATATGCAATAGTGTTACTTTTTGCACCTAAGGAACCGTAGTCTTTCACTGAGTGACCTCTCCAGTTCTGTAAGTGCTTTAGATATGAGGTGGCAAGCATTGTCAAATGGTCATATATATTTTCTTACAGTTTTACAAAAGCTTTACAATTTACATAGCCTAAACAGTTTGTTAGCTAAGGGCAACCCAATTCTAATTATTTGTTTTTTCTCAAAAAAGTTACCTAATCCATAAGGAGGGGCCGGTCCAGGTGGCCCAGCTGGGCCAGGCGGGCCTCGGGGTCCAGGTCTTCCAAGCCCAGGAGGTCCAGGTTGACCGGGAGAACCTGCTGGACCTGGGGGGCCTACAATGGACTCCCCCTTTGGACCCTGGAGACACAAATAATGTTTTTTTTTTTTAACTGGTATTCCCTCTGAGCTAGCAAAACTCATGTTTAATAATGTTTAATAACATTTGAGGTTTAATAAGCATCAGCTTTGACATACAGCCTGATTAGGATTAAAATTAGTCTTCATAGTCTTCAAGATATAGAGATGAAGGGAAGAATTTTCTAATCTTAACTGTATGAAGAAACATTCCTGTCGCTAAAGCTTGATATAAAATAACAAGAATAACAAACTTTTGTATCATTGGCTCATCATTATCTCTCATATATTCTGACAGGTGTCTTTTGTATTTCTTGTAGAATAACCGTTTGACATTAAAACACAGCAGAACTTCATTGAATTTAGCTGAATTTATTTTCTGAAACCAGCTGAACTCACCACAAGCCCAGATTTTCCTGGGAATCCTGGAGGACCAGGCAGACCTTCGTCGCCCTTTTCTCCTTTTTCCCCTTTGGATCCATGATCTCCTTTAGCTCCCTGAGTTATCAACCACAGAAATGTCCAATAAGCTAAGATCGATCAATCGACTTCATCTTTTTCTATCATAGTCCAACATTTACAAAAAACAGAACTCATAAATTATGTTTGAGTCTAATTTAAAACAATCATGTGTTTGGTTTGACAGCCTATCAAGAATATGATCTTTGGATGACTTTTATAAGTGATTCTATCTTATGCAGACGTAAAGTGTTAAGCTAATTTTCACTCACCACTATTCCGTCTGGTAGTGCAGGGGCTGGGGGGTGATCATGGTTGGTTAAAGCATAAATAACAATAAACACACAAGGTAAAGAGACTTTAATGAAGATGCTGTTGTTGAGTGTAGTTGCAGTAAAGTAATCAGCGAAGAAACAATTCTTACCAAGTGTTCCTGGCTCACCAGGCATCCCTTCATCTCCTTTGTCTCCTTTAGGTCCCACTGAGTCTCTCTTTGTCAATGAGTCCTACACACATATAGATGCAGATTAATAACCCGACTGCTTAAGTTGATCAGATGTTTAGAGTATGGCTGAACATCTTTTAATTCAGCAAAATTGGATGCAATGGATTCATGCTCAGTTACTGAGGTTATCCTGCAGGGATAAAGTAGGAAGCTTTAAAATACAGATCTGGGTAAATTCACTTATGTGGAGTTAGATCTGCTTCTGTTTATTCTCAGAAAACACAGATTACAACAGCTTGTTCTCAGAGACCTTCTGAGGGGCTTCAGATTTAAACTTGACTTTTAATCACTTTACTCATTGAACACAACAGCCTAATAATTCACATCATTAACAGCTACTAACAGGGCTGTTACTTTTCAGGTTTATAGCAGAAATCACTTATGGCTGTATGTTTGGCCCAATATCTTTTATAAGAAATCCTCTTCTGTGATGCTGAACAGTTAAACAAATCAAACGCAGCACCAGAAAGAAACATGAATTATCTGTACTACAGTGTGTAGCTTGAAGATGGAGGTCCATCACTTTTAGAACAATCCAAAAGATTTTTATACTTCTACTTATATTTAGCAGAGCAGAATGTCTTACCAATTTTTTCAGTGGCTGATTAAAAAAAGTGAAGGTAAACCAGCTCTGATTAACATAAAAATTTTCCTTCTTTCCAACTCACTGAGTTTCACTTAAGCTAATTAACAGCTAATTGGATCCTTGAGCTTCTGAGGAGGAAAACAGTAGATAAGCTAAATATTAATCCACATGCCCCTTTAAACACCATGCATTAACATTTGTCTTTGATAATTGCATTAAACTCAACTTTCTACTCATGTAGAACTTGGTCTTTTGATTATTTGTTGTATTAAAATAAAAAATATGAATATTTTTATGCAACATTTTAAGTAATCTGGACAAGACAAATGTTAAAGCCTGATGTAATTACATCATATCCACCGTTAGGTTGCCTTATCAGACATTGTTAAGATAAGAGGAGGGGTAGATTAAGAGAGGGAAGGATGCACCAGGGAGGTTTCATGCTTTGGAAAACCCACACACCACCAGAACCACCAGATGGTCCCGTTTCCAACTAAAGGGAACCATTCAGATGTTCCAGCTCAGACTTACTCGACCCAGTTTGCAGTGCGGTCTGGGGCGCACCGGGAACACTGTCTTTTGGGTTTAAAGAAGAGCAGCATGAGCAGACTTTCATTTCAGCAAATCACTTGATGAGAGTTTTTGAAAGCAGAGTTTTACAGTTTTTGAAATCTGTGAAATATTAAGCTGACATGTGCTAACCTAGAATTACAGTAAAAGATCATAGACTGAATGTCATCAAACCTAAAACCTGCTTGAAAATGATAAAGGACAAAATCTCAGAGCAAAAGTTAACGTTTTACTAAAATAGTTACTTCTTACACTAAAAAAATTATTCAAAATTCATTTAAGTCAAGAAAAACTGAAAGAAAAAATGAGATTGGTAGATAAAAATAATTAACTTTTGATAGCTGGGAAATCACTATTACTTGCACCCCTTAATATATGACAGACTGATAGGAACATTTTTTAAATTTAAACTTTGCAATAGTTTAGAACAGACATTTAAACAAGCAATGATTGACTTACTGTTCCTGTAAGTTTAAGTATACAGTACTGACTGCAAGTATTTGCCTTTTCACATAATTATTTTGTTTTTCCTTTTTTTGTGAAACATAAATATCCAGATAATTAAAACTAATTTCTAATAGGCTGAGTAGGTATAAAGTGCAATAATCTATACACTAGATTCTTTTTCAGGGAATAAGTGTTTGCCAATCTATATTAGTCTGAAAATAAACAAGATACTTGCTTAAATTTCCCTTGCCACTACCCACTGTAAGCAGGATGGCGAGGGAGGTAAATCTACAAAGCTAGTATAACTACTACAGAGTTTCATAAATATTTTTTTCTAGCGCTGTTAATGATTGTGACAGTTACATTAATATAATATTGATTAAAACACTAGGAGACCCAAACAGGGTTAAAAGAATAAACAAGTGAAAAATTAGGACAAATGTAATTTTTCAAATTTTACTGAGTGCAAACAAAGTAACATATTTCAGTTGTAAGTAGTGGAATTATAAAGCTTTTATATTGCCATGATAATTTTATACTCACTCCATTGAGTCCGAGAATTCTTCCAGGTGGACCTGGAGGACCTGGAGGACCTGGAGGCCCCTGAAAAACAGAAATGGGGTTAATGTATATGTATAAATATATGTATTATTGTATAAAATATGTATAAATATATGTATTAATCAAATTAAAGTCAATAAAAATAAGATGCTGATCTCTGCACATGGTAGTGTAAGTCCGTGGAAAAAATGGACATTGGCTGCACATTGTTTTTATGATAAGAATATAACAAGGATCCCCTTTGATCTCTTTTAAAGTAAAACCACTTCATAAACCTACAAACTCTTTTAGTTGGCAAAAACATGATACACTCTACACTCTAAAAGGTAAGAATTGAACAGAATATTCTTTTATTTGTCCCAATTATCTCAGCACAATCGGAGGCAAGTGTCAGGCAGATACACCCAAATATTGCTGATAATAGCAATAGTACTAATGACAGTAATAATAAAGTAGATTGTATTTCCAGTGATTACCCCATTATAAACAGGGGAAGGTTACTGTTTCTCCAATATTTATCTACATTGTATAGAGCCTTATGGGGGCTATAGCTCACCATTAACTGGGTATACTCCCAATTTGTAACCTCTGATGTAAAACAGTGACTGTCTCAACATTACCTTGATCAGCAGCTGCTGAATAAGGATGGTTTTTCCTCCTGCATGGCATCAGATTTATGTTACCCCTTCTGGCCAATATCTGCCTATCTTGGATTGCCTCGTCTTGATATTCTATTTTGAGTGACCCTGAATGTTTGGATCCTCCTTCACATTGGATTAGACCTCACCATTGCCTGCCTGACTTGCAGTAAGATGCACCAGTACATATAGTCTTTATTGTGTGAGAGCTGCTCAGTCTTGATGTCCATTCATACTTGAAGTGTGTCACATGTGTATGGCTTTGGGGTACAGCTTTGGTTTGACTTGGGATAATGTGAAGTTAGGAATATACTGGTTATAGTTTAGGTTAAGATAAATGATAAGATTAGAGACAAAAAGAATTACTGAACTGAATGGAATTCAATAAAAGCCATAAAACAGGTAGAAATACCAACTTTTTGGTGCATGTGTTTTTTTTTGGTTTAAAGGTGATAAGGTGACGAAAGGATTGGTTCCATTGTTTTTTTTATATTCTTCATAATGGCAAAGTTTGCCTACAAAAACATGCCCAGCTTTACCTTCACCTAACCTAAACATTGTCAATTAATCTGATTTGATGCCTTAAATCAATAATATTAAATCTGTGATTTAAAAATACCTAAAAGCACTTTTTTTCCCCAGTGATTTAACCATACATTATGTCTCTCCTTACCGGCAGGCCAACAGACTCTCCTCGGTCACCTTTTCTCCCTTGCATACCAGGTCGTCCCTACAATAAGTGAAAGAAGCTTTTACACAATGAGTCTAAAACATGTAGAAAATAGCAGTTTACACAGAGCTGCATTTATTTGATCACATTATGCACTGCATTGTCAGCTGGTATTGTGTGTCATTAGATGGAACTACTTACTGGGCGTCCAGGGAAACCGTATTCCCCTTTTTGACCAGGAGGTCCTATTGGTCCCTGGAACAAACAAAGTTTCTTAAACAACTTTATCATCAACCTTTCAAAAAGCCCTTAAGAGCCAAACACCAGTATATTAATTGCTTCTACTTGATATTTCTGTAAAGTTACCACAAATCCAGGAGATCCTGGCAAACCACGGTCACCCTGCAAACAAAGCAGCACAAATGGAAAAATGTTAGAGTAAAACAATAATTAATAATTTATACATATATCTTGCTGATATTAATAATATTCTGGTATCCAGAATATATTAGCTTTTTGTTTCTGTTTTACAAATTTTCTGAAATAAACGTTTTATGATGATCTACTTTGTATGTAGTCAACAAGCAGATTAGAATTTATATGATTTCAGTTAAGTCTCTTTATTTTGTAAAATTATTATAACAAAAAGTAACAGCAGTGGGCTGCAAAGTGCTGCAGTAATTAGCACTGCTGCCTCTCAGCAAGAAGGTCCCGGGTTCGATTTCCGGCCCGGGGTCTTTCTGCATGGAGTTTGCGTGTTCTCCCTGAGCATGCGTGGGTTTTCTCCAGGTACTCCAGCTTCCTCCCACAGTCCAAAAAGGTGGGTTGTTCTCTTTAGGTTAATTGCCTTGTCTAAATCTTCCTTAGGTGTGTCCTGTTTGTTTGTTTGTTCCTCTCACCCATTGACAGCTGGAGATAGGCACCAGCACCCCTTACCACCCCAGTTGGGATAAGCGTGATGGAAAATGTATGGAAATAGAAGTAACAACAATTATGATAGAAATATAAAGATGCCTCAGCCTAATAGCCACGATTATTTCGAAAGGGAACATAAAAAAAAATGTATTTAGGGAACATAGTTCTGTTCGGAGTTAATAGTTGCCTTTTATACCTTTGGGCCTTTTGGCCCCTGAGGGCCTCTTGGTGCCGACAAAATAGATCCATCAGCAGCAATTGTTACACCAGGTTCTCCTTTTTCTCCCTGTCAGAAGAAAAAATCTATTAAAAATGCCAAATATTTATAAAATAAGTTTGTTCATATGTGTGTATGATGAATGCAAAAAGAGATTGGTCATTCTGTAGCCAAACTGGCATTGATAATTGGAAGACCACTTGGAAATTCAAATATGTCTTCTTTTCTTAAACAATAAACATAGTGAACAAAGAAATTTGATGTTGCACTGACAATAGGACTCTTCAGAGTGGACTGCTGAGGAAGTAGGCTGAATCGTAGTTACAGACTATATTTTTCAATTCTGTTCCTAAATATTCTTTTAATTCAGTTCAAACTGAAAAAAGATTAATCCCAAAGGTAAATTAAATGCTGAAGTAAGTCATTAGCTTTTTTTTTCAATGAGTGGTTGTAGATATTGATAGCTGTATGCAGGAAGGGTCTTCTGTAGCGATCTGTCTTTCACCACATCTGGAGAAGTCTTTGATTGAAGACACTCTGGTGTTTCACAGACTTCTGAAGAGGATGTCCATTGCTGTCAATAATGTTTTTTGTTTTTTTTATGAACAATTCTTCTTTGTGAAATCATCTCCAGAGGTTCTAGGGCAGGGGTTCTCAAGTTCAGTCCTCAGGAGCTACCATCCTTTAACTTTTAGATGCATCTCTTCTCTAACACACCTGAATTGAAAAGGCTCAATCCCCTCATTTAGCCCAGCAGAGGCACGGTAGCAAGCCACTCATTTGATTCAGATGTGTTAAAAATGGGGCGCATCATAAGGACTGGACTTGAGCACCCCTGTTCTAGAGAAATTACTAGAATAGAGCCAGCCTTCTTTATCAGCTCATTGAGCTTCTTACGTCACTTGCTCTGATGCTGTTAACCCAGCAGATGATGGCGGGAGAGATCACACTCTCCACAGTAGACTCATAGAAGATATACAGCATCTTTCTGCATACACTGAAGGACCCATGCTTTCTTAATTAAGAAGTAAAGTCTGATTTATTGATGATTTCAGATGCACTGTTGGTCAATTTGGTTGTCCAGGTGAACATCAAGGTATTTTTTCACCTCCACCACCACTTCTTCTCTGACTATATTAATATGATTCAACTTCTTCTGAAATGTACAATCATTTCCCTTGTTTGCTTCATATTCAGGATCAGAAGATTATTTTAATGACATGCAGCAAAGTGGTTCACTAGCTCCCTGTACTGCTTGTCTTCCATCTCTGATGAGCCTTATGATTGCACACATCTGAGTGTTTTCACAAAATACTCCACAAATGGATCAGAATTTCTTTTTTTTTCTGGTGTTGGATTCTGTGCAACTGGAAGGATTTTTCCCTTTTTGGACATTTGTTATATGTAACCATAGAAACCATAGTAGGATGGTTTTCACTCCTGGGAACAGCTTATTAACATCACTAGAGCTGATCTGATACTTCAACTACACAACTTTATTTCTGTACATCTCGTTTGATTTCTTTGTATGTGTGGATTGCATGAGTTGTTACCAACGTCTGATGAAAATGTCATATCAATAGACCCTCCAGAAATATTTCTACTGAGAAAAACGGTGTTGTGTTCAATACTTATTTTACCCACTATGTGTCTTTCCTCCTTTAGATCTCACCTTCTGACCTGGGTCTCCCTGAATACCTTGAGGGCCTTTGTCTCCTTTTGGTCCTCTAGGGCCCTGTGGAGGTTAATGTTAGATAGGTTAGGAAGAGTCATTGTGAAACTGCATTTTTTTTTAGGTCAGTAGTAAAACAAAAAATCTGTATAACATAAAATAACAAAGAAAATAGATATCTTTACTAAATATTTAGATTACTGAGAAGGGAAAATATACAGTTGTTTCTCTTAATAGTAATATAAATAGCATGTGAACCCTAATATGTCTATAGCACAGTGGTCTGGTAAAAAGTTCTTACTGGAAATCCAGCTTTGCCAGGTAAACCCTCAGGGCCCTGAAACATATCAGCAAACACACAAACAAAGACTTTAAACTTAGCAAGTAACCACCCTCTGCTATCTATCTATTCTGACAAAGCAATACACACAACATACCAATAAGCTAAACAGAAACAGCAGCACAGTAGTTATACTTGTGTTGTTCCAAAGACATCTTGTTAATTATTTCAGGGCTTGTTGCTACTGCAGCACATGCAGTGCCTCCTGATGTTGCAACATTTCAAACTGCATAATCATTATCTTTTTTATATCTCTTGCTAAAAAAACACCCACCATGGGCCCTGGGGGTCCTCTGATCTGTGTGAAGTTTAATATCCCATCTGTAGTATTCAGCAGCAGCTGCAGACAGAATACATTTTGACTTAATGTTAGAATGTTTAAAGAACAGGAGCAGCAATCTTTGCAGCAATGACTTCACCAACAAAAGAGTCAACTTAATATTTTATTTAGCCATACATTTTACCTTTGGTTTTAATGCTATTTATCTAACTGTGAAATTCAACAAAAATCCTATTAACATATCTGATTTACTATCTCTGACCCTTTCCTATGATTCCTTCTTCGCAACGTCTCTTAATGTTTTGAAACATTGAGTTTAAAACTTGAAATTTAACACAACATTTCCTATAAATAAATCACACAAAAAACCAAACATGATGTTTTCTGTGCACCCATACATCTTGCAGATTTACAACAGGTCCAGGAGGTCCAGGAGGCCCAGGTGGTCCCGTGATACTGCGTCCATCCAAACCCTGATCGCCCTGTTGTATATAAATACAAGTGTTTTTTTTTGTTTGTTTTTTTAAACAGGATCTGTGAGGCAAAATTTTAAATTCCAACAAATAATTTTTTTTTTTTATTAAAAATCTGTTAAGAAAAAAGGACCAATGGTATATGCAGGAAAGATGATATTATGCTTTGTCTTTCTACCTTTGGTCCAGGACTGCCTTTATCTCCTTTGGGCCCCTGTTTAAAAGGAGAATAGCAAAATACTTTAGTAAAACAAACATCCCACACAGATTTTTTATTTATTTTTTTGCATCCCCATGATGATATAATCTGTAGGTAACATAACTGCAAAGCTTTGTTTTAAAATGATTCATGCAGACTTGTTGGTAGCCCTTAAAGAGGTGTACACGATATAATAAACCAATTTTTTTCTGAAGCAGAACTACAAAAATACAGATGTTATGAGCATGTTCGTTCATGAAGAAAATCTCATTAAGAAAAATAAAATCTCATAAAATATCCTACTGGTTCAACAGTTAGATTTTTCCTTGTCAATTCCTCAAAAAAGCCTTTAGAGGATATTGAGGCACTTATTGAAGCTCTAATAATTTACAGAGTTGGAGTGTAGAGAAAAAGAAGTTAATATTTAATCTTTGCACAATCTAGTTAGATGTTTTTGGGTGGTGTCTTATTTTATTTTCTCCTTGCCTTAACCCATAGTTCTTCTATAATATATATGAATAAGGACTTAGAGAGGTTGTAGAAGAAATTTGATTTTGTATCTAGTAAAACATTTCTGTGTTGATCAGCCTGGATGTTTTTTCAGACTTCAAAAGATTGTCATGAAGTAAAAGAAAAAGACGATAATGCTGTTAAATGTAACAAGGTCTCCAGCACAGATGTATTCAGTTGCCATTGGGGCAACAGTGGCGTCGGATGTAGGAGTATGCCCTGAAATCGAAGCTCCGGCTTTCAGTTGCAGTGTCCTTGAGCAAGACATTATATCTGCATTGTCTACTGATGGTGATCAGAGGGCCTGGTGGTGCTAGGGTATGGCAGCCTCTCTTCTGTCAGTGAGTCCCAGGACAAGCTGTGGCTACAATGTAGCTTGCCACCATCAGTGAATGGGTGAATGACTGAATGTAGTGTAAAGTGCTTTGCTCAAGTCCCCTGACTTGAAAAGTACAGGCCATTTATTTTATCCACACCAAACTGCTAAAAACTCAGTATTTACAACCAAATGACATGGTCTAAGCTCCACATATTTACATGTCAGATTATTGCATGCTTTTTTTAGAGGCCAGATGTGGATGACACCTAAAATTTGTTATGGAGAATTTTATGGGACCCATATGTCATAAAAGTGACTAACTTGGCTGTTAGCATTCTCACTGCAGATATGTAGTTTATTGTATATTCTGCATTGTTAAAGTAAACCCATTACAAATCTGAAGCATCACCACGTTTGATCAGCCATACAACTCTATCATACTGTTGATGCTTACTCTAGCGCCTGGTAATCCCGCCAGGCCCTGAAGACCAATTGGTCCTGGTTCCCCCTGTTCACCCTGTAATAAAAGGCAGCTCAGTCACTTATTCTACAGGCGACATCCAGCAGACATTATATAGCTATATCAATTTCTTCATAATTGCACATGATACTAGTATTGCTTTACATAGTTTTTTTTCTAGCTTGCAATCAACTTAGTGGAACAATTACGGAAATATTTATTTAGAAAAACCTATCTGAAACTCATCAAACAGAAGTGATGAGATTTGAAATTGATGAAAAGTGTTTAAGAGCTGGAACTGTTAGGAAAAAAATACGAACAATTTCTGAAAAGAATGGCCTCACCTTGATAGAACGTCCATCAGCTCCGGGGGGTCCATCCAAACCCTTAAGGGAACACAAGAAAGGTTCTTCAACTGTCAACAGTGAAGCAAGCAGCACATCCATATGCTGGCTGCTTAAGAGCATGTTTCATATGCAACACATTAAACACAATAATTATTTATGTAATGAACAAATAAAGTGTCTTACAAAAGAATTCATACTGTACCCCTGGAAATACTAGATAAGAAAAAGTGGCACATAGTTGTTTACGAGAAAAAAAGTGATATGTGGCTTATTACTTTCACTTAAACAAGGTTTAATATTGTATTCAAGTATTTTTTTTCCTCTCACATCCCTAAATTAAACTCAATGCTGCCAATTACCGTGAGACAACCAAAGTTATAATATATATTCAGAAGTTCTATAAACGTTTTTTGAGATTTGTACGAGAACATCAAGAAATAAAAAAAAAACAAAAAACATAATGACTATCAAGGTATACAGCAGAAAGTTCAGGGATAAATTGAGATTGTGGAGAGATTAAAAGCTTATGAAAATGTCCAATGCTGGCCAATTGACACACTTATAAAGTCATATTTTAAAACAGGTGATAAGAGTATAGGAGAACTGAAAACCCCCTTAAGCATGGCTGTCCATGTACACTGGAAGGGGAAGCAGGGAGAGGGTTAGTTAGAGAAGCAACTGGAAGTCTCATTACAATCCTGGAAGAGCTGCAGAGATCCACAGCTTAGTTCAAGTAGGAGACTCTGCCAACAGAACTGCTATTAGTTGCTGCCTTTATTAGCCATTTTTAAAAAGATTACAGTCCCTGAGGGGGACAGAAAGAACCTGAGATGGAAGTATAACGGCTTTACCCATTTAAAAAACATAAAAACTAATTCTGATCAACCAGTATCAGTCTGAGGAAAGGCTTTATTTTCAGCAGTAGAGAATCAATCCTTTTGTCACCTCTTCCCAGTTGTGCTCCTCTTTGCTTTGCTCAGTCATATAAAATAATTTTTTTTTATTGAAGTAAGTGGTGCCAGCATGATAGAAGTAAAAAATAAAGCGCTATCAAAAGTTCTGGAAAGCTTTGTTACTATTGGTAGATTACCGGTAGTCCAGGTGGCCCTGGTACGCCAGGGGGGCCCTTAAAAACACAAAACAGAAAAAAAATTATTCCACAATAGTAGTGCATACAGCACATGTAAACAAACAGATAATTAAAACTGACCTGTGGTCCTCTTACTCCCGTCCTTATTAACAAGTCATTCTTTCCTGATCCTTCAATATCCTTTGAAAAAATTAATATAGAAATCAGTCTGGTGTAAAAACTTTAATAATTTTTATTGCAGGAAATCAATAAAATATCTGGTTCTCTTTGTGATCTGAACTTGTAACCATTGTTTTCCGTTTTTTTTCTTTTAAAGTAGGAATTTATGTTTACCTCTCCAATGGCAGTGGTTCCTGGAGGGCCAGGTGGCCCAGGGGGTCCTGCTGGACCTGCTGGGCCTCTCCTTCCTGGTCGACCAGTGAACCCTCGGGGCCCTGGAGGCCCTGGGGGGCCTACATCTCCACTTTCACCCTTAGGAGGCAAAGACATGTAGAACGTGAAGGTCGTCTGATTTAAGTAATTTATTCATTTGGGGGAATAAATATAGTCTGTACTTTCCCCACAACAGCTTGTATAGTCAGTCAATTACCTTTGGTCCAGTTGGTCCAGGCATCCCTTGGTCACCCTGAAGGTGCAAAAATACATAATGGAAAACATCCAAAAACAATTCTATTTGGTGACTATCAGCTCCCCTCCAGAGCATCTTAACTTGTCAAACTTTCAGACATTATTAGTAATGGCTAAGAATGGCCAGAAAACAGCTGATATAAATCTTTATTGTCTGTTGATTTCAATTTTAAATTTGTAATCATACCTTCTCTCCAACGGCTCCAGCTGGACCAGGAAAGCCATTTTCCCCTACAGGTCCCTTCATGGACAAACACCGAGAGTAACCAATCAAATGTCTATGAAGTAGTGATAAGAAAGGCTAGCATGTTAACAAAGCCTCTGTTAATTCCTCAGGCGCTCTATCTGGTCATTAACACCAGTTCTTGCAGAGTATAGAGGAATTATATAGAAAGAATAATGCTAATCAGTTAATTAGGAAATAAAATCATCCATTGCAATGTTGTAATGGACCACATGCAAATCTAAACTACTTATTGTTATTTTGTGCACAATAGTGGCAGTAATAGCACCTTAAACGCATGGATGATTTAATTCCTCTGTCACTGGTTTCTCATTATTTCGCCTCACAACTAAAATAATGAGAACTGAGTGAATTCTTTTAAAATAAGCCATTCAAATCCAAAGTACAACAATGTATCTCGACCATTTAAAGCAACATCTAAACTGCACATGCAACGAGTGACATGCACATCTTTAATGGTCCCATTAACATCCTGATAAATATGTTTTTGAGGCATCTGCCCTGTTCCGAATACTTTGTAGGGAATGTGTTGTTAATCAAAACTAAAAATATTTTTGATTAGGAAATTAATACATCTGCTTCACTGTCTAACAACAGCTTTTGGCTTTGTTAGCTTTTGTGCTTAAGGGAAGCTTAAACTGCTGTAAAGATCACCTGACTCTTTCAGTGACGGATCGGACCATTTAAAGTGATATAAAGGGCAGCCTGCACTTAGCCTCCAAATATAATTTAATATATCTCAAATTAAGCTAATATCTAAGTCAAAACTTACACATTTTTGCTATAAAGCTGCATGACAGTGTAGGAAAGACTTTTGGAGTCTAATGGTACTGTCATACCTGGACGATTTAGTCAGCGTATCCCAAAAATGCTAGCATATGAATGAGTAAGTAATACGTTATGGGTCAGTTTTGTATAAGTTATAAGCACGCTGAAGCATGCTGGCACACGTTGACATACGGCAATTACGTCAAAAAATTTTGCTAAAAATTTGTTAACGTATGCCAGCATATGCTCATACGTGAGCCATAAGTTAAAGAAGTTATGTCATCGTTGACACAGGTTAATTGTAAAACATGCTCTAACACAGAATCTTCTATTTCACTAGAACCAAGCCTGATTGGCTGTTGACTTTGGTGCCTGTTTTTTGTATCAACAAATGTCTGAGTGGATGCATGTTCAGCCATCAAAAACGGAATTCAGCATAGGAAGATTTTTGTAAAGACAATGACTGACGACAATGTTAAATCATTATCGTCCCACATTTGAGGCAGTGGTCTTGAAGGGCAAATATCATCATATAATAGAGCCAGAAAAGATCCTCTTGACACACTGAAACCAATTAATAACAGCCAGTTCCTGAATTAGGAGTGGGAAACAAGAACAGTGCTGGAACAGCAAAAATCAAGTTAAGAACTTTATAACACTGTAATGAAACCTTGAAGGATATGAGGAAACATAACATCTGCAGAAAACATGTAGTTTTGTAAATCTTGAATGATCCCCACTATATCTTCAGCTATGTTAAGTTTTAAAAGCAAGGGCCTTTCCTGCATAATACTGGGAAACTCAAAGGACTGGGACTACAACACTATGCAGCCTTAATAATTATACTGATCGTAAGGCTACTTGGGAAAAAAAACTAGGTTTTATACATAGAATGAAGACAGGGCTCTTGATCAATTCAAGAAAATCATGCGTTAGTGGTTTGCCTGGGTTGTCAAAAGAATCAGGTCAGGTAATGACTTAAATGAGTGCTAAGTTCCGTCATTTCATTTCTACAAACTCTTCCTGGAAATATAATACAAATATAGTAGGCTATACATCTAGTTATATTGAATATCTAGATTGTCAAAGATGGAATAAAGTCAGTGAGTTTCAGGCAAGTTTATTGTTGAATTCTTTCTAAGTACCAAGTGAAAAACATTGAGTTCTAGCCACTGAATTGACTGTGGATGTTGATGTTTCTGTTGGTGTTTGTTAGTTGCACATATGCACGAATGCAGCTTTTTGTGTTAATGTATGTCTGAGTCCTCTCTCAGGTCAAGAACACATCGTCAGGCATTTTTCAGGCTAAAGAAGTTAACAGCAGCTTATGTATCAATATTAAGACTCCACTTTCAACCACTACCTCTGTAGCATTAGCTTAAAATGACATAATCTATGACACAAGCCAAATGAACTTCAGATTGATTAAATAGAGATAAATTATACTGTTACTTCAATTCACAGCTTTAGAAAAGCAATGGTGGTCGGAACTGGAGCATGAATTTCTCCTACTTGAATGCTGCCAACATTTTTTTTTTTTCATCTCAGTCCAGTTTTAGGTCAGAAATAAATATTAACCACAAATGTGAATTAAAGACAGAATAGGTTTGATATGGTCCTTGGTTTTATCTACCAGTTGCTTTGCTCAGACATTTTTCCTCAAATCCTCATCCTTTAGAAAAAAACAAAAACAAAACTAAACCTTTCTCTTATGAACTCACATTTAAGCAAGGGGTGTTACTATTTCTGTTTTCACACCACTGTGTAATATAGTGAGGTGCCCAGTATGTATTTGGTCATCTTTCTAAATTAAAGGTGGCAAATTTATAAACAATTGATCACTATGATCCAGAAACAAGTGAATAGTGAACATGATGATGATATAAGCCCTTTTAAACAACAAATGTGTTGTCTTCATTATGTCTTTACAGTGCACACATGCAATGTAATTCTGTAATTCTGGCATTCATTGTTCCTTTGTTTTACATTAATACCAGAACAGTATACCTCGCCTGAACCACAGGCAGACTCAAGCCCAGAACCCGAACCAACACTGGAGGGAGAACTAAGATCATAGCTGGAACCAGAACCAAGTTTTGTACTGAGAACTGGTGTAAGCTCTGATTTCAAACCTGAACCAAAAGGCCCAGAACCACTTAACTCATCCTCAAATATCTGCAACAAAGTAGAGGAGACAGAAAAATAGCAAAAATGTAGAAGATGGATGAATAATGGCTAGAATGGGATGACTGTATAACATATTTAAATAATTTAAAGGGGACCTTTTTTATCTGGAAATCTGTAAGATATAAATATGCTGAGCACATAAATATAGCAGAGTGTAAATAACCTTTTTTTTTATCTATAGATGCACCATAAGTTGACATGTCACCTACTGGTAATCCCTGTTTGCCTGGGAGTCCATCAATGCCAGGGGGACCAGGTGGTCCAGTGTGACCAGGTACAAGTTCTGATGTTAATAGAGGTGCAGGAGGACCAGGTGGTCCTGGAGGCCCTGGTGGACCGGCTGGACCCTGGAAATCAAAGGAGGGATTACTTTTTCTCCTCCTGAAATGTAAATTACATCCAATATTGTTGCCTTTGATTATGTTCTGTTTTTTACCTTGATATAAATAGTATCAGTGTCCAGATCCTCAAAGCCAGATCCAAGGGCATCTGCTCCATACTAGAACATAAATACAATGTTTTTGCTTCATTAAATCCATTAATATAGTGCATTCAGGGGATTTTACAAACTGTGAAATTTAAATATAGTCTGCTCACAGGTACACTGCGGGATCTGGGAGGTCCTGGAGGTCCAGGAAGACCAGGGGGGCCCGGCAAACCAACTCCTGGGTCTCCCTTTATTGGTATATAACACACAATAAGAATCTCATCTAAAATTGTACTTATTAACAACCTTTTGTTTTTGTTTTTTTCATCGTGGGAAATAATACTAAATTGATACATCGTGTTATCAATCTATTTACATCCCATGCTTTGCTATAACCTAAAAATGGCCACGAAAAGAACAACAACCTTTAAATGTTTCTGTAATCATTTACAACTTTTTCCTTTGAAAGTTTTAAAAAAATATGTAACACAATATGCACTAATCATTTATAAAATCTACTGTGTATAAAATGTTATTCCAGGCTCACTTATTGGGGGTACAAATCAATGTGTTCACTGCTGGACATTTGTGCGTGGCTTATTATAGGTCAATTCGTGCACACAAGATCAGAACACCAATGGTTTATAGAAATTCTATTCCACTTGTTGCCTACATTAAGAATTGTGGTTACCGGCAGAGTACTGTAGATCACTAATATAATCATAATATATATAAGACTTTTCTGCTTAGATACTTTACAAGGGCTGGAACTAAATTAAAACACCATAATTTTAAGGAAATGGTTGGTTTAAAAAGCTGGTACAAGCTAGTCCAGAGCAAATGGGATGAGAGCAATTAAAAAGAATCATTAATATGTGTGGACAATAATGGATGTTTATATCAAGTGAAGCATGAAATGATGCAAACGTCCATCCGTGTCTCATATGGAGAATACAGGCATACAGTATGTTGCATCATTTCTGGGATCATGTTTTGATTCACCTTTTCCCCTTTAGTTCCAGCTTCTCCACTCAAGCCTGGAAATCCCTGTTGTCCTTTTTGACCCTGGTGGGAAAATGATATCTAAGTTATGTGATATGTTAGCAATAGAAACAAAATGAAATGAAATAATATTAAATAGTACCCCGAATATGAAGTTACTTACCAGTCCTCCTTTTTCACCTTTGCTTCCCTGCAAAAGGAGATCATAAAAGATTAAAAAGATTTCGAAGACAATGGATCTTTGCTTTTTTTACTCTTTATCTGTTTTTATAACAATACCAAAAACATATAATATAAAATGTCTCTGCTATTTTCTATAAATTAGAAAATCAAACATCCTAATACAATAAAACTTTATAATCTGTGATGTGTTTATTTGTTCTGATGCTAGTTTGCAGTGATGCATGCTTAACACGTGATACTACAATAATTAGGATGTGTTTAGCCATATGTATAGCCATGTATAGCCATTTATATAGGTTTGTAATCAAAAGCTTGTGCTTAAAAATACCTGGTAAATTAGAGCACTGGGTTCCAGTCTAGGTTTGAACCAGAAAGGTTTGCAGCGTCTACAGAATGAAATTGCCTCGCTTTCTAACCTCTAGGCCATTGCTCCTTAAAGTCTGTTGTTTTTGCGTAACATAACCTAAAAGGCAGTATAATTTGTGATAAATCAAGAAAATATAATCAAATATACTTTAGCTCCCTTTCTGTCTAATGCATTTTGATATATAACATCTACAAATATTCCCTACTTGCTTATATTATCTCAGCATCTCTGGGTAATTAGTCAAATTTTCCCATGTCCTCATGTTCTTCACCTATTGCAAGATTTCCCCGCTGTTACAGTCCTATTTCTTGTTTTTTTTGTTTTTTTTTTTCATTTCCCACAGCTTTTCTCTCTGAGTTTCTTAGCTTCTGGTCGACGAATCTTGAACCCTCAAAGCCCTGAACATGTTAGATTTAGGGTCCTCTTCAACATTAGTTTGTGACATAAACACGGTTGACTTAGTCAACATTAAATTAAAAGGTCAAATAATTTATCAAAACGCACCCTATAGGCATTGTCTTTTCTGTGGGAGTTTGTGATGCATGGATTTGAATGTTTTTCATCTTTTCTATTAAACTATATCATTAATATTAACCCGAGGAAGACAACAAGACATAATGTCTGAGGTTTGGTGTTTAAACTTTTATCTGTCTTTATCTATGCTTGCATGTTGTTTTAGTCTTAACTCACATGAGAAATAATAACCCTAACCATTTATATAACCCAACCAAGTGTTTACTAAATTTAACATAATTTCTTCTGCTACTCAAACGCAAACCAACCTTCTGTCCATCTCTCCCTGGTTTACCAGGGGTTCCAGGAGTTCCTGGTGGCCCTTGTGGTCCAGGTGTTACTCGCTCCTTTTTGTGTACAAGGCGAGATCCTGGAGGACCAGGAGGTCCAGGTGGCCCAGGTGGTCCACGATCGCCCCGTTCCCCTTTCTGGATATGAACCTGTGAATGGCAAGTTTAAAATAGTTAATTTAACATACCTATAATCAAATGCAACTGATAGTCATTTTTTGTCATCTGGATCTATAGGTGACTGTTTGAAAACAACATTTTTAAAAAGTAGCTCTTTGAATATTTTACGTCAACTGGCCAAATGTTTATGAAATATTTATTGCACCAAGTTAGACTTCAACAAAAAAACTCAAGTTTTTTTTATCGAGTTTTATTATATCCTTGGGTACTTACATGTCCAGATCGCTCTCCTGCCTCCTCTGTTTGCGGAGACTCTGGATGCATAACAAGTTGTAATAAGTTTTTGCCTCAAAATAAGATACAATAACTTTTCCATTACTGTAAATTAAAGTTAATTTACCAAGATTTTGAATACTAAAAGACATGTATAATCTTCCTTTCCCTTCACAATTATGCACTACCTGTACCTTAGTCTACAAAGTAAAATCCCAATAAAATGCCTTAAAGCAATTAATTATTTTTTATTGAGCATCTTAAGTCATATTTGCATAAATTGTGGACTTCAAATAAAGAAGACTGATTCTGACCTGTAATAAGCAGCTCCTCATTGGCCACTGTCGAAGTCATTTGACCAGAGTGCTCACTGAGCTCCACCTCTGGTACCACAGTGGGCGGGGCTATGACAGGGAAGCTGTGCTGTCCCTACAGAGTCAAAGAAAAGACTGTTAAAGGTGATTTGTTGTGAGTGAGATCAAAAAGGTTGTTCCCATAAGTAGCAAGCCTAACACAAAGAAGCTGTAAAAGGTTATTTAAAGGTTCCAGGTTGGAACCTCTAAAAGGTTATTTGAGGGTTCAAAGTATGTCAGCTGTCCATTCAGGCTGAAAAAACATGGATGACTGCTGCTCAGAAGAGCTGTTGTCTTGCAATCTGATTCATTCATTGTTGGATGAATCCTTCCATAGTGCAAATACTTTGAGTAGTCAGTATGTCTAGAAAATTCATTTTCAATCTATTTGCAAGTTTTTTATTTTTTTATTTTTTTTACAAAGACCAATAGTGAACACAACTTTTATACTAGCTTAAAGGTATACCACAAATTTTTGAAAAGACCCGCCATCTCCACTTTAAAAAAAATGCACTTGCCCAACCCTGTACCCGCTACCGAGAGGGAACTCCTATTAAACAAGCATGCATAAGCCCATTTCTACTCATGCATGCTCTGTTTATAAGTTGCTGTTTGCGTCACTCATACAAGCTTACTTTTCAAAAGAAAATTAGCAATTTTTCTACTGTCAGACTCACCACCAGAAAGTGAAAATGGGGACAATCACATAGGATGGCCGTACGTAAACAAATCACCAGAATGATTGACAGTTAGAAGGACCACTAATTTTGATGATCCACCAAGAAAAAAAACATACTCCACTATACCTTTAAGAAAGGATCAGGTTACTGCTACGCACGTTTTAAAGTTTTAGGATTTTTTTTCTGTCTAAAGCATCTGATAATTGACAAAACTGAGGAAAAAATATGACATAGACTGGAGTTCACACATCATATAAACAAGTTTAACTTCTTCAAACCCCTTTTCTAGACATAATCACTATATTATACAAATAACATAATTTTATTTGCTATTCATTATATATTGTTTGCATATGTTTTGTTACTAGATTGTCTGATATAAAGTAATTAATTAATTCATTCATTCATTTGTAGTATAGATTAACCAGCTCTAATGTTTAAAACTTCCTCAGTTGATAAATAAACTCAACTATAGGTGCTTTCAACCCTTCCTATATGGGAGAAAAACATAACAAAATGTATTAAATTTATCTAAACTGATTCATATATTTAATGGGTACAAGGCAGAATTTTACACACTATTTACTTTAACAATAAAGTACTTCAAAAAATTGGATTTCTTTTATTTTATTTTATTTTTTACAAATAATGATCTTGAAAAAACGTATACTATCAAGGGTTTGCTATGACATGTAGAAACAACTGTCCTGCTTCAGAGGGAGACAGTTTCCTTTGAACCTTCAAACTTAAAGTGGATCAATGGATGTTTGGGGTCAAACTGACTTCCCACTAGTGGGAGGATTAAAGGATAAACAGCAACCTACCAGCCCTTCCACTCCATCGTCCTTTTTCCTGAAGTCCTCCTCTGTCTCTCTGTCATCCAAAGTATCATCTCCGCTTCCGTACCCAGAGGCCTGAGTTCATGATAAAATAGTTGTTTGTTGAAAATGGAGGATTGTCACAGAAGTTATGTCAATAAATGATGAAGCAGCAGTTTTGTGACAGATACTTTAAAACTCTAACTACTGTTTTTTATACAGTACATATCTTCTGCTTTTGTCCAGAAAGGACAGCTAAGAACAACCGGAAAAAAAACTGAGCCATCCAAAATATATCTACGTGGTGCATTTCGGCAGAACACAACATTAAATAAAGGACGCTCTAAGTGTACACAAGTACAAGGACTAAATCAAAAAACGGAAAACTCTGGCTGTTTGTGTGAAAAATATAAAGAAAAAGGCCTGGTTAATTAGTGTCCCTCTTCAACAGGTTAATTAAATTTGTGAAAACGTTTTACAGTTTTCATGCTGCCAATAAAAAGAAATAAAAAACACAAAAATGCATTTCCCTTGTACAGGTGCTGGTCATAAAATTAGAATATCATGAAAAAGTAGATTGATTTCAGTAATTCCATTTAAAAAGTGAAACTTGTATATTATATTCATACATTACATACAAACTCATATATTTCAGATGTTTATTTTGTTTAATTTTGATGATTACAAATGACAACAAATGAAAATCTCAAATTCATCATATCAGAAAATTAGAATATTGTGAAAAGGTTCAAAATTGATGGCCCCTGGTGCCACACTCTAATCAGCTAATTAACTCAAACCACCTGCAAAAGCCTTTAAATGGTCTTTCAGTCTAGTTCTATAGGCTACACAATCATGGGGAAGACTGCTGACTTGACAGTTGTCCAAAAGACGACCATCGACACCTTGCACAAGGAGGGCAAGACACAAAAGGTCATCGCTAAAGAGGCTGGCTGTTCACAGAGCTCAGTGTCCAAGCACATTAATAGAGGCGAAGGGAAGGAAAAGATGTGGTCGAAAAAAGTGTACAAGCAAGAGAGATAACCGCACCCTGGAGAGGATTGTGAAACAAAACCCATTCAAGAATGTGGGGGAGATTCACAAAGAGTGGACTGCAGCTAGAGTGAGTGCTTCAAGAACCACCACACACAGACGTATGAAAGACATGGGTTTCTGCTGTCGCATTCCTTGTGTCAAGCCACTCTTGAACCACAGACAGCGTCAGAAGCGTCTTGCCTGGGCTAAAGAGAAACAGGACTGGACTGCTGGTGAGTGGTCCAAAGTCATGTTCTCTGATGAAAGTAAATTTTGCATTTCCTTTGGAAATCAAGGTCCCAGAGTCTGGAGGAAAAGAAGAGAGGCACTTCATCCACGTTGCTTGAAGTCCAGTGTAAAGTTTCCACAGTCAGTGATGGTTTGGGGTGCCATGTCATCTGCTGGTGTTGGTCCATTGTGTTTTCTGAGGTCCAGGGTCAACGCAGCCACATACCAGGAAGTTTTAGAGCACTTCATGCTTCCTGCAGCTGACCAACTTTTTGGAGATGCAGATTTCATTTTCCAACAGGACTTGGCACCTGCACACAGTGCCAAAGCTACCAGTACCTGGTTGAAGGACCATGGTATCCCTGTTCTTAATTGGCCAGCAAACTCTCCTGACCTTAACCCCATAGAAAATCATTGGGTTATTGTGAAGAAGAAGATGCAATACACCAGACCCAACAATTCAGAAGAGCTAAAAGCCACTATTAGAGCAACCTGGGCTATCATAACACCTGAGCAGTGCCACAGACTGATCGACTCCATGCCACGCCGCATTGCTGCAGTAATACAGGCCAAAGGAGGCCCAACTAAATACTGAGTGCTGTACATGCTCATACTTTTCATGTTCATACTTTTCAGTTGGCCAACATTTCTATAAATCCTTTGTTTTTATTGGTCTTCAGTAATATTCTAATTTTCTGATATGATGAATTTGAGATTTTCATTTGTTGTCATTTGTAATCATCAAAATTAAACAAAATAAACATCTGAAATATATGAGTTTGTATGTAATGTATGAATATAATATACAAGTTTCACTTTTTAAATGGAATTACTGAAATCAATCTACTTTTTCATGATATTCTAATTTTATGACCAGCACCTGTATATGTGCTAATTCTGCACCCATATAGCTGCTGTGTTTGTGTCTCACATATGGATCGTCCTCCTCACACTGCTCCTCTGTTGCTCTAGGATCGTCCTTTATGACCAGCTGCTGAATAAATCCCTGTGGATGGAAAATCATAGAGAATAAGAATAAATACGATTAAGCTGTGACATCAGCTAGAATACCTAATGACCAACATACCACTGGTTTTATCTGTGGAGGGAAAAATATTCTTGGTTCTAAGTAATACTTAAATTTTTAGTTTAATAAAGCCTAGTCTTTGAAAAGGAGGAAATACGTTTTAAAGTATGATAAAGGGATCTGGAAGGGGAAAACATTTTTAAAAGTAAAATAAATATATTGGAGAGAACAAATTTTCACACTGATAGCAAAAACTGATGTTATATATTTTCTCAGAAAACATTTTGGGATAAAATATTTTGTCATAGAATAAATAAAGTATAAAATGAAATTTGGAGAATGATTTCCAAGGGAAGAAAGCTCCCACCAAAAACTTTTTTCTTATCTCTCTGAAAAACCAAGTCTTTGCTCTAATTGTATGTATGTATGTATGTATGTATGTATGTATGTATGTATGTATGTATGTATGTATGTATGTATGTATGTATGTATGTATGTATGTATGCATGCATGCATGCATGCATGCATGTATGTATGTATGTATGTACAGTATGTATATATGTATGTATGTATGTATGTATGTATGTATGTATGTATGTATGTATGTATGTATGTATGTATGTATGTATGTATGTATGTATGTATGTATGTATGTATGTATGTATGTATGTATGTATGCATGCATGCATGCATGCATGCATGCATGTATGTATCCATCCATCCATCCATCCATCCATCCATCCATCCATCCATCCATCCATCCATCCATCCATCCATCCATCCATCCATCCATCCATCCATCCATCCATCCATCCATCCATCCATCCATCCATCTTCTTATTTCCCTATGCATACATGTTTCACCTAATGAAATACCTCTAAAACCCATTTATTGTATTTGTTAGAAATGATCAAATATGCAGAATTTATGCATAAACGCATGGATTGGAAAGGATGCCATACCATACCATACCGTCCTAAAGCACTGCAGTGACCCAGAAAGAGCTAAGAGAACAAACTGCTGCTAAGGGGGCTCGTATACACATAATCAGCTGGTCTATTATCACAGCTTTAACAAACTTGTGATGGTATAATTTCTTTTTTTTTGTGGAACATTGCTCAAGGATTATCCTAACTGGCATAATCTTTGCCCTTGACTGGATCAAAACTAAGCCGCGTTGACATCTCTAACTTCCTCATCTCTTATTCATTTACTCCCCCATATTTTTTCCAGTATCTCCTGCATTTCACCATCTCCCTCCCTTATTCTCTGTTATTTCCTCTCTTCTCACCTCCTCCCTGTTTCTGGACTCTAAAATATGAAGGACAGAGTCAGCTTCACACTAAAACCCGAGTGATAATCAGACTAACCCTAAGTCGTTTTTTGCTGACTTTTATAGACGACAAACAATTAGCTGGCACAACCACACTGGAAAGGGTCAAATACCTGGTGAAGCAAACCCTCCATCACTGCTTAAATCATAGGTAATAATGAGAGGCTACCAACCATTAAGTTTCAGCTGGTTGGTCTTCATCAGGTTTGGTGAGCTAACAGCAAACATGTATTTCAATAAGTGAATTTTTTGCGAGAAAAATAAACTGTCCACAAAATGTGATAGAAAGAGGTGTTTAACGACCAGAGATTGCTGCGGCCTTGAGACAGATGTTAAGCAAACTCTTCAAATTGGAAAAGTCACAGCTTCAAGATGCTCCACACACACATAGCTACGTATCTTTTAAGTAAATTTGAGGGCAATTAGAGGAAGAGGAGGTATGAAAAATAAGTTTTACTTCTTCATACCCCTTATCAGACTATTTACATTAATCAATGTCTTTTCTATGGCTGTATATACCGACAGGTTTATTTGGTGGAGGGTTTTGTTTCTATTTATGTTCAATTAATGAATTTAGTTAGTTTGGAAATTGGTGTTTGGTTTGGTTGATGTTTGTTAGTCTTTTTGTGTGTATTTGGTTGATTTATTTATTGTTGTTTGTCAAATTGTCTGTCTGAAATTTTCTGAAATAACTTCCTGTTCATTCCTTAATTAATTAATTCATAGGACATGGATAACTGCTGTTCGCTTTTTGGTGTCAAGCCACTCCTGCTAATGGGAAAATTAATCGGACTGTTGTTCCGTGCTCTTCTTATTGAATTTTCAATTTGTTAGAAATACCTCCCTGAGTCTGATGGATGAATGGATAGGCAGAGAATCCAAGTTGTTTTGTGTTTATTCTGAGCTGTCTACAATTATTGATGCTATGGCAACCGTGTTATCTTCAGTGTTGTGACACCTCATTTTTAATTTGTCAAGATCCAGGTATCAGGTCTAAATGGTGCTAAGAATTAAAACTAATCTAAAAACAATCTAAAGCTGTAGTTGGTTTATCAGTTATAAGACTGCTGAATCCCTTTCATATATAGAATTTGAAAATTTGCATCAGTAAAAGCAACAGTAATGGGCTTCAAGGTCATGTTAGTCTTGCAGAAGGGGACCCATTGGAAGTGAAAAATTCATTTAAAGGAAGGACAATATATAGCTGAAGGGAGGGCTGAAATTGCTACAATTGTAACCACAAATTGTAGGTTTGGGACATTATTACGCTTTCAGATGCACCTTACAATGCACAATTATCTTATTTTTTTTACAAAAATCAAAAGGTCAGTAGTCTTCATTTGTTTTATATCTCTGCAGCTAGAATGTTTTATGAAGTAGAAAATCCTCCCCTTTAAAAAAGACACAGTTTAACTGCACTGAATGTTGGCTGGAAGGACACAGAGCTGATCATTTATTTCAGCTCCATAACATGGTTATAAGAATCTATAAATAATGTCTTAAGAGCTTTCTACTTCCCTTTTATCCTTTGTCTATTTTTTAACAAGACATAAAATGTCCAACACATGTATGAACAATGAGCTTTACTTACCTCAAACTTTTGAAGCCCTGTGCTTCCTGCATTTGCAACAAATATGCCCGAGTTGTGTGAAAAGGTGAGTCTCTCTGGGCTCCGCTGGAAAGTCACCAACTTAGCTTCACCACAGTCCATGTAAAGACGCACTTCATTATGCTCCACCGCCAACTGCATCAGGAGAAAGCTATTTATTAGAAATATATCTTATTTTTTTTTTTTTAATCATACATTAATTGTTGTTTTGTTAAATTGATTTTCACTGCAATGTTTTGGCAAAGAAACTGCTTAGAACTCTCCAGCACTTTTTTATCTTGGTAATTTGCACCCAAAAATAATACGAGCATAAAGGTAAAACTGAATAAAATCTTAGCTCAAAAAGCCAAAAGATAAGGATCCAAGATATAAACGGCAAATTTTGTTGTAATTTTCATCCTCTTAAATTGAGTGTGTATGGATTAAGGAAAGAACCTGACAAACCTAAAGGATAAAAGTAAAAAAAACAAACGTAAAGGAAGTTTTTTTTTATGGATTGTTATTATTATAAAGAAAAAGCCTCAGCCATCGACCCACCGTGAACCGTGTCCACTGCCCAGTCATGTCTGGGACACTGAAAGCAGCAGCTTTGTGGCTATGAGAGGCCTGTTCTTTGTCAGTGTAGTACAATAAGATGCTCTGGAGGCCTTTATGAACTGCAGTGAGGGCCAAACCGAGCTCCACAACCTTCTGATGAGCATCTGTGAAGGCAAAAAGAACGCCTCCTCTCTGATTTGCTGGACGCACCTAAAGAGACGGAAAGAGTGAGGCCATTAGAGAAAATACTTGTAAAAAGGGTATGTCAGGAATGTCGGGTTGTACAGACTACTAATAGATTATAGTAAGTGTTGAACATCTTAAAGTTTGACATTTTTTCTGTTCTTCTGAGCAACAGCAGTATCTTTTAAATGATTAAAACTCAGAAATCCCACTAATCCATTGTAATTGAAAGTTACATGAAAATGTAAATTTACATATAATGTCGTAGACCAACCAACCAGCTATACACTTTTTTTTTTTACTTTCTAAAATAATAATCTGAAGAGCATGCTCTTCTTTAGCTTGTTTAAAACTTCTAAATATAATCCAACTAATTTCCCTTGGCTATGATCAAATAAGACCATATGGTGATTTTTGGTCTATGTGCTAAACAATATTTACAGTGGAAACAATGAGCATTACCCTGATCACATCATCCCCATGCCTAAACATGGTGGTGGCAGCATCAGGTAAATGTACATTTCTACAGCAAATGTAGAGAAGGTCATCTGGCCTCTATGGGAGGTTACATGCAGTTAAACAAAGAGAAATCCTAGTAGGTAGACATTTAGGCACTGCCAAAACCTTCGGTAGAGTTTCTATTTCAAGACACAAACACCAAACCTACAGCCAGAGATACAATGGAATGATTTAAGGCACATTGTATTCCTGTACTAAAATTATCAGGTCAAAGTACGGCTTTGAATTCAAAATATACAGCAAGACTTTAAAGGTTTTTTTTAATTTTCCATGTAAGCATGAGAGGCCCTGAACAATATCAAAAAGAAGCAAAAATGTCAATTTCAGGGACATATTCCAAAGATTTTAGAAAAAGTTATTTTATAAGAACACAAATGTATGTCACACTTTTCAGATTTCTGCTTGTAAAACATATTTCATGTATTGATCACTATTATGGGCTCCTTTGTGTTGGTCTGTTATATAAAGTTGCATTAAAATACTTTTCATTGAGCAGCTGTAATATTAAACAATATGATAAAGTTAAAATGAGGTCATACAGGATTTTTCAAATCACTTAACTAAAAACTGAAAATAGATCAGCCCTATGATGACCGCTCTCAATGGCAGTACAAATACTTTTTAAAGAATGTTGGGTTTTTTTCAGCACCGTGATAATAATGGCAAAGTCCCTGTAGAAAGGTCCGGGCACAAAGGATCTCGTGAGTCGGCCAACGTTGGCTTCGCTTCCAAAGCTGTAGGCTGGGAATGCTTCAAATCCAGGGGTGAAGGAGACAGCAGGAGGGAGAGGGATACCGATCAAATCCATCAGGTCCAGATGATTTCCTGAGCCATTGTCTGACAAATACAACAAAAAAGCAAAATGTCAAGAGTACAACACTGAATTGAAACACAGCAGATATTAGTGAACCAATCAACACATGCTGGTGCCTCACTAACTGCTCAGTAGGGAGAGGATAAGTTCATCCTTTATTTCAGGTAAAGAGTTAGATAACTCCTATTGCATTAAATTTCTAGCAGATCCCTATCCCTGTCTTGGTAGTTTTTCCCAGCATGTTAGATTAAAGAGCAGAGGTACATACGAATCATCCTGACACGGCTTTAATTTGGACTGATTTGATCCAGACTAGTGCCTACGCATCACTGCCCTGCCTCACATGGACATAATCCCTTGAAACAGAAAAGTGCACCCAGTGTTTGGCAATTAGAGTATTTAGTGTGCATGTGCAGAGATGGCCTCACATTCCCATGATTCTCTTTCGATGGAGCCTGTCTCCCATAGTAACAAAATCAGCATTCCAGCCAGGCTACCCCCTTCAACTTATATTTGTATCATATGCACAAACACACAGAGGCACACAAAAACACCCACGTTCTAGAAAGCACACAAAGGCCGGGCCAGACCAGACAGGCCAACTTTCGGGGGTCTCTAATTCATCAGTCAGACCAACTGGAAAAAAGCTTGATTAGAGGTTTGGGGTTGGATGTTTGTGGGTGGATGAGCTTCTGTGCACCCTTCACACAACTACAAGGACGACCTTTCCATATTTAAAAGTTTAATGTTTCCAATAGAGGTGGGGGGTACAAACAGAGTCTAAATATATAAACTAAACACTCTAAAAGCCTCACTCCTCCAGTCCAGATGTGCAAGGCTTGGACCCTTGTAACGGCCAAAAGGAGCAGATGAACTCAGAGAGACCTTAAATTATAATCATATTTCAAGTCTGTTCCTCTGCTGCGAAATTAGCAATGAAAGTCATTGAGTAAATATTCTTATCTAATTCAATTCAGTTTATTTCTATAGTGCCAATTCACAACACATGTTATCTCAAGGCACTTTAAATTTCACCAGTTCATCCAGTCAAATTGTTAAAACTTTTCTATCTAAGGAAAACCAGTTTATTGCATCGACTGATTGACTCGAGTGCAAGCCCTCACACTAAGCATGCTTGTAGCGACAGTGGAGAGGAAAAACTCCCTTTTAACAGGAAGAAACCTCCAGCAGAGCCAGGCTCAGTGTGAGCGGCCATCTGCTGCTCACATTGAGAGGATGAAAAGATGGAAGCTGAAGTGGTTTTCTTGCAGATTTAATAACAAAAAGGAGGCAACTGAAGCACAAAAAATAACCAAAAACCAGAAGACATCAGGAAAAACAGACATGACGAGCAAAGAAGTGACGTGGAACCAGCAAACAGTATCTGAAGAGGAGTATAAATGGGAGACTGAACAAAGACTGGGCTAATTAGCAGATGAGGAACAGGTATGGATGGAAGTATCTAGAATGGAGCTATGTGAAGGAGGATTAACAAGAAATACATAAGAACTCAAATACTACCAAAAACAACTAGAATAACACAAACTGGAAATAAAACCAATTAAAAGAATTCAAAAGAAAACTTAAAAATGACCAAAACCATTACAGAAATGTCCAGGAATCAAATCATTAGGAAGGAGACAGGCTCTGTGTCCCTGAAGTGAAGAGGTGTTGCTGATAAGTGTTATATCCACAATTAAACAAGTTCTGTGCTGACATGGGCTGGCAGGAAACACATTAAGAAGCCATTACTTCAAAAGCAGCATAACAAAGGCAGAACAGTGTTTAAATACTCACAGGGTCAAATACTTTAAGTCTTTGAGTCATGTCCTGTGGTCTGATGACCACTGAACAATTTGGAGGAAAAATAGTAACGCTCACAATCCTGCAAACCTCATCTCTGCTGTTAAATATGTGGATAATGGTGCCATTTTTACAGGGATGCCCTCTGCAGCCACCATTAGATGAAGAGAAATATAATTTGGAAATATGGAAGCATCATCTCCAAATGTTCCTTAAAGCAAAAAAAAAAAAAAAAATTGTATTGTAATCGATTCAGTTTCTTCTACTGTTTTGCTGCAAACAAAGCAACTTAATCTGTCACTAGTCTAATTACAAATTTGGGGTCAGGCTCTCCCCTTCCCAGTCCCGCCTCCTTCAGCTAATCCTTGTCATGTTGACCACATGAAAGCTTATATCAGCTTGTTGAGTCTTGTAAAAACTAATATCACCAACTCCCTCAGTGTCTCCATCAATAACCTTTTAATCCCTCTTTGACCCAAGCTGCCACATAAAAGCTTCCAGCTGTCTAAACCCCCCCCCCCTCCTTTAGATTTCGTTGAGTCTACAAACTTAGCTCATGCTATTTTAATGGTACAAATTCCCGTACCTCACATACTCTCAGGTTATGTCTCGAATTATGGAACACACTAGAAAAATCCTAACATGTTATGCATTATGAACACAATATGATATTTGCAGAACATTTGATGTTATTCTGCTGGATCTCTGAATTGTTATTGTGAGCTGAGCAAGAAAAAAAGTTAGCATGAGGTAGATAATTTCCATAATTTATCCATAATCCATAATCCCATTAATTTCCATAATAGTTTCTTCTTCCTCACTGCTATTAGACTGCTGAATGTTGTGTAAAATGGATTATTTTATTTATAACAATTAATTAATGTTAGAACTGTAAATATACAGTCATATGTTTTCATATTTATTACTGTTTTCAAGGCTGCATCTTAAAAAATGAAATTGTTTAGAGCTGTTTTCAATGAATTTTTGTATATACTTGTGTATACAAAATGACAAAAATAAATCTGTCTAATTGTAATTCTAGATGGACAAAATCAAGAATGTTATAATTGGTGTCCCAGGTTGCAGCTGCCTTTGGTAAGTTACAACAAGTGCACTGAAAAAAATCAGCCTCTGATATGTGGGATACAATGCTGTTACATATTTATATTTTAATAAGTACTGTGTTATTATGCTGAAGTTACAATTGTTGAATCTGATGGCAAAACTACACAGCTGTTTTAAGTATTTTTTTTGCTTCTTTACGTATTTCTGTTATTCCCTTTTTAAAATCATAAAACTTAAAAGTACTGTATATCAAAAGATGAGCTTTGAAATTGGTATTTCCTGTATTAAGGGAAAAAGCCATTCAAACCTGTGGGGCGCTATGTGAGCCAATAATCACCTACCATGAAAAATTATTACCCAGCTTCCCACTTTTTAAAAGATGACTTTAGTTCACTAATGTCACCCAAGCCCCTACACTGTCAAACCAGAACAACAGACGACAGATCTGAAATAACAATTAACAGTAGATGGCAGACCAACTCATCGTTATCAGACTAGAAATCCATCCATTCAACTTATCCTGCTTATTCCATCAGGGTCACCATGGGGCCGGTGCCTATCTCTGGCATCCTATGGGGAAGAGGTTGGGTACTCCCTGGATGGGTTTGGGAGTCTGTCATAGGGCAACACGGAGACATACAACCATGCACATACACATTCACACCTAGGGGAAATTTAGCAAAACCAATTAACCTAACAGTAATGTTTTTGGACTGTGGGAGAAAGCCAGAGTACACAGAGAAAAACCCACGCATGCACATCGAGAACATGCAAACTCTATGCAGAAAGACCCGGGGCCGGGGATCGAACCTGAAACCGTCTTGCTGCAAGGCAGCAGGGCTACAAACTGTGTAGCCCCAATCTATAAGTTAGAAGTTATTTCTAAGTCTTTTTTAGCTCCAATTAATAGCCTCATTTGCAATTATCCACAAATGGAGAAAGGATGGAGCAGTGGAGAACACCCCTATGAGAAAAAACAGGTCTTAAAAGGGCCCTTATTAAGGAAGGTCACAGAGAAACCAAGATCTAAAATTAGCGTTTTTGTTTGACAGAAAGTAAGAGATTACAATAATGGCAACCATTGGAGATTTTCAACGTAAAAACCGCTGTTGATTGAAAACAAAAAGCAAACAAAACAATAGAAAATTTAGGGAACAGTGAGTTGACAAGAAAAAGGTTCAGCTTTTTAAAAGATAAGACCTCTAAATTCTGCTCTTTATTGTAATGACCATAAACCTAACCCCTCATGGGTTATGGTACATGAAAGTGATCCATATCCCATCTGAAAGCCCTCCTCTGAATGACTCAGCAAAACATATAAAAGATTTTGAAGTGGTCCAATCAAGGTTCAAGCTTACATGCTATTGAGATGCCATGGCATGAGGTCAAATAGTTGTATCCTGCTCAAAAACACACCAATATGGCTTAAATGAGGGCAAGTCTGACTGTATTCTACATATGAATAATTGCATTATTAATTTTTTTAATGAACATCATGGCAGTCAGGAACTACCTTCCTAACTTGGATGGTTTTCTTAAAAAAGGTGAAGGGATAGAAGCATGTATAGGAGGTAGAAGCTCCAATATGAGGCATTCGGAAGGAGCATTTTTTGCTTAAGTGTAATCAATGAGGGTCCTAGGAAGCAGCTGAGATAGTTTATTGTTTGAGTTGATGGTGCCCGTGTCAAATTGATGTTAAGTCTTACTGTAGTTCCTTTTCTTTAGGACACTGTATTATTCAGAAAAAAATGACTCCTGACTCCTTTTATCACTCACCACTCTTCCATTGTTTCAGTGGTTTCTTCTTGAACCAGCCTCTGTTACTTCCACTTGGGTTCCCAGCAGGAGACAATGTTAACGTTTTCATAGTGGTGAGGGAATCTAAATCCACTGAGCTGTGTGGTGTAGAGGACAGCATAGACCCCTCTAACTGAGTGCTCTCCACATCATTTGCAGTTATTATGTCCACTTTTCCCACTCCCCACTCTGAAGGTGTCCCCTGGGTCGTGGAAGGTTCCTTGGAGGTGACGGCGGGAGAAGTCAAGGTAGGAGGAACAGTGGTGGTCGTTGGTTTTACCCACCAGAAAGACAACCACTGAGTTTGCACAGGATTGGAGGCGAGGAAAAATAGTGTAAGGCAGATGTTAAAAGCTCCCATCCTCTATCTGCAGCAGGTCCAGATGAAAACACTCCAACTGGTTAAACAAATACTACACAGAACCAGGAGCTATATTCCCATCTTCAACTGGTTATATGCAATTCATAATTCATAATTCTATAGAGTGAATATTCATGAGATATTTTCCAAAAGAATATTCCAAAACAAGTCCTTTTCTCTTTCCTTCTCTCCTTCCTCTCTTTGCAATGACTTACTTTTCTGTCACACTCTTTTGCTCTAACTAGAAGGTTTCCTCCCCTCCACACCTCCACGCTTATTTCTCCTTTTGTAATTTGCCTGTCGACTCCTCTAGAGGGCGGCAATATACTGCTGGCTTATTTTTTTTCTCTTTTTATGTTTATCCCAGTCTCAAAGAACCAGAGTTGAATTGAGTCATGTGGAAAAATCTGCACAACTATATGTAAAATGAAGTCTAATTGCATTTTTAAGAAATGGGAGAAAACATTAACGTTAGAATTTAGAATATCAGACAAAAACTGACAAAATGGTTGAATATTATGTAAGAAAGGAATCTAAATAATATCCAACAAATATTTTCTTTGAAGAGAGAGAAAACCTGACATTTCTGTTTACTTTAATTAGATTCAAATAACAAAAGTTAGTTAGACCAGGACTATTTCTTGAACCTTTGACTTTATGGATGTCATCAGTGTGTCATGTGTTAAAATATACTGAGGATTCCTAAATACTGAAATAAAACAAAACTGATTTTCAGTTTTTCCTTTGAGGAATACATAAGATTGGAACATTAGAACTGAATAAAACATTTTTTTTTTCTGTGGCAAAACATTGAATGCAGTTATATTTAATCCATGATCCTTCTCTATGCACCAGCTTAGCGATCACGCAGCAAATACGGGGGCCCCACTTGCAGACGATGACAAAGAGACGCTTGTTCTGTTGTATTGTGTTTCTCTAAATGTTTGCTGAGGTCCAAAATGAGGGTCCGGAGTGTTGCTGAACATTTGTCACTGAGTGGAAGTGTTTGTTTAGGCTGAGGTTTGATTGTGCGTCATTGTTAGGCTACTGTGGGAAAAATGTGGTGCCAACATGAAATTGGTTCAAAGTAAAAGTCAATTTAAATTCTGATGAGTGAGTGTTTTCCTTTCAAACTACTCTGGGTGCAAAAGGTAATCAATTAAATGGAAGCTCAAATAGGGAACTCTGCGCATAATTATTGACATACTGTCCCCTTAATGTTCTATCAAACTTAGTAGAGCAGCAGAGGCTTATCATTGGCAGAATTGTCCAAAAATAATAATAGTATATTGTTTGTGCTCTTTTTACTGAACTTTCAAAAATAAAAAAAATCTGAAAATTGAAAAAATCTGAAAGCCAGAACTAAGAAGAAAGACATTCATAATATTAGAATTTAAAATACCAATTTACAAATACAAGATTTTGGGATATTATATGTTCCTTCTGCTTTCTTTCTACATGTTGAGCCCATTAAAAGTTCTCAGAGTTCAAGGACAAAAACCATTCACCCTCACCTCTCATTTACTGCCTGCTGTACCTAGCAACCACCTAACAATAAACCCTAATTGGTTAAAGGTCACACAGCAAATCCAGCAGGGAATAAAAAGGCCAAAAGAAGAACATCGAGAAAAAACAAAATAATGATTTCATTGAACAGGAAATAAAATAAAATCCAGAGATAGTTCAAAGATGGGTTTGTTTAGAATTGAGTGTTAATAAAATATATAATTATTTTGGTAGGATGCTGTAGTATGCCATGCAACCGGAGGGTCGCTAGTTCAAATCCCAGTTCCTTCTGTCTCAGTTGTTGTATTCTTGGGTAAGACACTTCACCCGCATTGTATATTGATGGTAGTCAGAAGACCTAGCAGCGCCTGTGTATGGCAGCCTCGTGTCTAACAGTGTGAATTAGGGCAGCTGTGGTTTCTTTCATGGTAGCTTCCCAACATCAGTGTGAATGTGTCAATGACCGAATGTAATATAAAGCTCTTTTTGAATTATTTCACTGGAAAAGTTGTTGTATAAAAACAGGCCAATTTAAAAGAAATCTTCTGAAAAATATTCCAGATGTGTCTTGCACTATTTTATTGCACTATTGTAACCTGGCATAAACCATGTTGATACTGTGTAGAATTCAAGTTGAACTACGTGGTATTGATCTGGAAAGTTTCATCTATAACTTGTGTGCAAAAGGGAGGGACTTCCATTACAATTCTTCAAGCTGATTGGGTACCTGCCTCCCATTGTTATCCAATCACAACAGCAGTAGGAGCTTTATTGGTTTCACTACTAGCAGAGTTTGCTGATAAATCAAAGTTTTACCAAATCCATCCACAAAGGTAAAAAATAACGTCACTTTGCTTGTTTAAAAAAATAAAAATAGACTGTATTCCAGCATGTTTAAAGAGGAATTCTAAAAACCCCCCAAAAACCTTGACAAAAAACAATATTGTGCAGCAAAGCTTCCTCTTCAGAGGAATTTTTAAACAACAACAGAGCGTCTTCAGTAAGAGGCATCTCCAGATCCAGTGAAAGACAGACCACTACAGAAGATCCTTCCTGCCTACAGCTATCAACACCTATTTAAAAAAATAACGTATGAGTTACTGCAACAATTAACTTCCCTTTGGGATTAATAAAAGTAATTATGAATTGATTTGATTTGAATAGACACCAACCAGTAAGAAATGGACCAGGAGAAGCGGAGCACAGTTCCTCCTCCCTTGTAATCAAATCCTTTCATGATAAATGTTTTCATTTGTAGAGAGTAACAATATCTCATATTCTTAAGTATAAAAGTAACATTACAATGTTAAGCTTTTAATCTAAATAAATAAAACTAAAAGTCTCATTTACAAAAAAAAAGGAGCAATTTGCTGTATCAGGACTGAGCCTTTGACTGCACAATGAGTTGATTTAGGCATTTGCGTCAGGTGCGTTAAAGCAGATGCACATCTAAAAAGTCCAGATACCAGACCTTAAGGCCTAGATCAGATTTACAGGATCCGAGATTTTTGGATTTTAATTGGTTGGAAGGTAGCAGAAGGAGCGATTGTCCAGGTGGTCGGTCAGTTACTAATATTGCCAGTATCTTAGAAAAGTAGAAACTACTCCCAGGGATTTGATGAATTTTTACTTAATATTAATTTTGTTATTACTAAATAAAAGTTGATTGGGAACTTTTTTAAATAACAACAAAGTTTTATCAAGATAATCAAAGTCACTTTGTGAAGGTAAGGGTTAATGTCATTAGGTATTTAGATATGGGCAGGGTAGCTAAAATACACTCCAGTACTAAGAGTTGCATTGCTTCAATATTTATTTATATTGTATTATTGGAAGTTAAAAGCAAAGTAGGCATGCAAAGAAGAAAGAAAGAAGAATAATCGGATGTACAGGTGCTGGTCATAAAATTAGAATATCATGAAAAAGTAGATTGATTTCAGTAATTCCATTTAAAAAGTGAAACTTGTATATTATATTCATACATTACATACAAACTCATATATTTCAGATGTTTATTTTGTTTAATTTTGATGATTACAAATGACAACAAATGAAAATCTCAAATTCATCATATCAGAAAATTAGAATATTACTGAAGACCAATAAAAACAAAGGATTTATAGAAATGTTGGCCAACTGAAAAGTATGAACATGAAAAGTATGAGCATGTACAGCACTCAGTATTTAGTTGGGCCTCCTTTGGCCTGTATTACTGCAGCAATGCGGCGTGGCATGGAGTCGATCAGTCTGTGGCACTGCTCAGGTGTTATGATAGCCCAGGTTGCTCTAATAGTGGCTTTTAGCTCTTCTGAATTGTTGGGTCTGGTGTATTGCATCTTCTTCTTCACAATACCCCATAGATTTTCTATGGGGTTAAGGTCAGGAGAGTTTGCTGGCCAATTAAGAACAGGGATACCATGGTCCTTCAACCAGGTACTGGTAGCTTTGGCACTGTGTGCAGGTGCCAAGTCCTGTTGGAAAATGAAATCTGCATCTCCAAAAAGTTGGTCAGCTGCAGGAAGCATGAAGTGCTCTAAAACTTCCTGGTATGTGGCTGCGTTGACCCTGGACCTCAGAAAACACAATGGACCAACACCAGCAGATGACATGGCACCCCAAACCATCACTGACTGTGGAAACTTTACACTGTACTTCAAGCAACGTGGATGAAGTGCCTCTCTTCTTTTCCTCCAGACTCTGGGACCTTGATTTCCAAAGGAAATGCAAAATTTACTTTCATCAGAGAACATGACTTTGGACAACTCACCAGCAGTCCAGTCCTGTTTCTCTTTAGCCCAGGCAAGACGCTTCTGACGCTGTCTGTGGTTCAAGAGTGGCTTGACACAAGGAATGCGACAGCAGAAACCCATGTCTTTCATACGTCTGTGTGTGGTGGTTCTTGAAGCACTCACTCCAGCTGCAGTCCACTCTTTGTGAATCTCCCCCACATTTTTGAATGGGTTTTGTTTCACAATCCTCTCCAGGGTTCGGTTATCTCTCTTGCTTGTACACTTTTTTCGACCACATCTTTTCCTTCCCTTCGCCTCTCTATTAATGTGCTTGGACACTGAGCTCTGTGAACAGCCAGCCTCTTTAACGATGACCTTTTGTGTCTTGCCCTCCTTGTGCAAGGTGTCGATGGTCGTCTTTTGGACAACTGTCAAGTCAGCAGTCTTCCCCATGATTGTGTAGCCTATAGAACTAGACTGAAAGACCATTTAAAGGCTTTTGCAGGTGGTTTGAGTTAATTAGCTGATTAGAGTGTGGCACCAGGGGCCATCAATTTTGAACCTTTTCACAATATTCTAATTTTCTGATATGATGAATTTGAGATTTTCATTTGTTGTCATTTGTAATCATCAAAATTAAACAAAATAAACATCTGAAATATATGAGTTTGTATGTAATGTATGAATATAATATACAAGTTTCACTTTTTAAATGGAATTACTGAAATCAATCTACTTTTTCATGATATTCTAATTTTATGACCAGCACCTGTAAAAGTAAAAAGCATGTGTACTGTTCAGTTATTAAAATAGCATATATACTTAGATAAGTATATGTAAAAAACAAATAATATGAATAAAACATTAAAAACACATAAGATAGGGGGGTTTGGAGCCTGTTGCTAAGTATAGAACGTTATCATCATAGGAGGTTTTTGGATTGAAGTTGTGTCTTTATTTTATCTGATTTAGTCAACGGTAAAGTTGAAC